GTAAATATATCTCTAACTTTTAAGGGACATCGAGTTTCTTAATATACGCATAAAGTTCTACTACGACTAATCGCGCTAGGAGGCGCCGGACTTTTAAAGGGGGGAGAAAGTTTACCTTTTGCGACGCAATATTCGTACTAGACGACCTAGCGCGAAACTCGACTACCTTAAATTAGGACTATTCGAAATTAAAGAAAGAATAGGACTACTTAATTATCGACTTAAGCTACCTAATAGTATACGACGTATCTACGTAATATTTTATATCTTATTATTGGAAAGAGTACCTAAGAACGCCGAAATCGCTATTAATGTTGAAGTTAAGGAAGTATTAGAAAACGAATATAAGGTCGAGAAAATCCTAGATACTAACAAAATCAGCGGAAGACCTCACTACTTAGTAAAATAGAAAGGATACGATACCTCGGAGAATATATAGGAACCTATCGAGAACCTAATAGGCTACTACTAGCTAGTTCGATAGTTCTACCGGTAGGAGAAGGAGACCCGGGAGCCTCGACAAGCCAGGAAGCGTCTAGGTCGGCCTAGGAGAACGATAGATCATTTAACAACTAAGTTAGAGTAGGATCCTCTGACGTTACCGTAAGGATACGGTCGTTAACCGTAATAGTAGATCGAGGTACCTCGCCCGCGGTACGAGCACTCTCTACCTCACGATCTTTTTGCTTAAAAGTAATACGCTCTTTTTTAAGACGCTCGCGCTCTTTAACCTCGCGACGTTCTAACTCTTCTAACTCGGCAACTTCTTTGAAATCCCGGGTAATAAAATCACTAGCACGTTTTTGCAATAAACGTTTTTGTTTTCGAAGACAAAGGAGTTTAGTAAGAATAGCCTCCTCCTTCTCTTTAATTTAATTTTGAGACTTAACTAAACGACGCCACTCCGTATTAGTGAATAACGGGGACGGTATCGCACACTTCACACTACTACCGGCGCGGACGCAATTATTATAGCGGTCGGAATAGTCGGTACGAATATATACTCTTTTAAGGCGAACGCAGCGTTCGTAGGGGATAACGGATTGAAAACCTTCGTCCTCGATTCGACGGGTTAAAGCGTTTTTACGGATAGACGCTTTAGAAGATATAGTCAGTAAGATAGGCTATAGGGGGAAGGAAAATATTGAAAAACGGAAAAACAGTACATATACCTAAGGGGGGGCACTAACGTTTAAATCCTTTGAGGACAAAGGACAGGGAAGGAGGGGATGATGTTACGGACCTTAAAGAGGCGCGGGGGCCGTAGCTATTTAAGTAGCAACCGTAAGCTAATCATTCTACGGACGCTAAGGATTAGCGTCATTACGTGCGTTTCGGTATACTTAGGTAGGCCCCGGGGGGCACTAAGTAGGAGGGTTTAGGGTAGAAGCCAGAATCGGCCTACGGCTAACCGTCACAATCAATACCCGCTTACTCCATAGGACGGTTAGCGCGAAGCAGGAAACGGCCGCTCTCTTACCCGCACCTAGATTACACCCTAAATATAAGAACACGGTAAACCACGTAACTATATCCTATTAGCGATAGGATGGACTTATCAGCGATGAGTCCTGTCGCATCCGTGATAAGTCCCGACTTATCAGTGATAGGAAGGACTAGATACATAAGGACACTCATTTAGCATCATATATTTAGTTCTTCGCGATCAATTACACATTGTTACTTAGTTACTACCTTTAGTACTTTGCACTTCACAGTTCACCTTTAAGACCACCTAACCTATAAGTAGGGGATTCACTTAGTAGCAATACTTAGTGATTGACTTACTTGGCGCGCACTTCTGGCACGTTCTGCAAGATACTTAACAGGATCTATTCCGCAGTAAGGCCTTGCGAGGCAACGGTACGATTAAGAGACACTCTTGGAATTCGAAGTTGTGCCGAGAGGGCCGGAATCAGCCGTGACAGCACATATCATTGTTGTACCGCATTATAACAACGACTTAGGTAACTATTGCCCTTTCTGCACTTACTCACAGTGACCAGTCGGCTACGCGTAACATAATATAGGCGAACTACGGGTTTAAGGGCTAGTTAGTAGGGTATAATACCTTACTAAGATTTAAAGAACGAATCTATATTCCTATAGGAAGTAACCTTAGAATAAGATTATTAAGTATTTATTATAATAATCCCCTTACTAGCTACTTTAGTCGCTCTCGTACCCTTAAACTAATAAAAAGGAAATATTACTAGCCGAATCTAGACCGAGACGTTACCGAATACGTATAGGATTACTAGGTATACTAAGGTATTACTATAAGAAGGTATAAGCCTTATAGGGAACTCTAATCGTTACCGATCCTATTACGACCCTTTACTAAACTCTCGATAGATTTCGTTATAGGACTCCCGCCGGTATTCTATTAAGGTAAAGAGGTAGATTTAATCCTTATAATTATCGATAGATTCACGAAATAGTTACTATTCTTCGCTATATCGACTATAATTACCGCTATAGAACTTACCGAATTATTCTATAACTCCGTAGAGTTACGTTTTAGACCGCCCGAGGGTATTATTTCCGACCGAGGGCCGGTCTTTACTAGTAAATTCTAGTCGAGTCTTTATTATATATCTAAAGTACGCCTTAGGCTTTCGACTACGTTTTACCTATAAACCGATAGCTAAACGGAGCGGGTTAACTAAATCCTTAAATACTACCTTCGGTGCTTTATTAGCGAAAGCTAAACGGTATAGCTAAACCTACTTATATTAGTAGAATACGCTTATAATAATATAGTTAACTTAATATGTTTCTCTGAGAGTCCCAGCACACAGCACATGGAGGCGGAAGCTCATCGTCCGCCAGAGCTGGTGGTCAGTTCCAGGAGTATAGGCACCGTCCCCAGGAACACGGCCCTACGCTCCCCGATACACCTCAGTTCCTAGAACTCAATTACCAAGCCCCAGGAACACAAGCTTTCTTCCTGGGAACTTTTAGTTAATTCCTAGAGCTAGGTACCAGCCTCACTCACAGGGGAGATATATAACCCCGCTGCCGCTTATCGTGCATCTTTTCTTGAGGCTATGTATCAATGTTGAAGTCAGGTAAGGGCTATTCCACTTACCATAAGTTTAATCTCTTAGCTCATCGATTACTTAACATAAACCCCCTAACTAAGAGTCCGTACGCTAGTATGCCTTCGCAAAAATGAAAACAATGCATTTTCCGACAGTCGCCCCTCCGACGTCGTTGTACTGTAAAGCGGAGGGTAAGAAGACGCTATATCGGATCTATAGCAAACACAACTCGTGACAAGACCTGTCAAGGGCTCAGACCGATCTTGATTCAATTAGGTATGGCCGACAATCTGTCTATCTGAAGCTTAAGGAAAGGTAACCACATCGGGCCTCCAGAAGGCTAAGTATAGAGAGGCCTTCACGTAATACGCGTGATTAACATCGGGCTCTAGCACGTTACAAGACCACCTATATAATCAACCCGATTTCGCGACTATCTAATAAAGCTAATGAGAAACTCGTTAAAGCTCGTAGTGGGTCGACTAGAGGAAGCGTTCCCAGGAACTTAAGATCGATGTAAATCGCTGAACGGACTTATTATTCAAAGTAATGACCAGGCCGAGATTGTATCTCTTGCCCATACGTAGCACAGCACATTTATTCAGTTAACAGCTAGTATGAAAGGAGAGAGAAGTTACCATGGCAACGTGAGAGTACGTCCGTCATATCCTGGCCTTCGCTCCCAGGAACACCAGAAGCACGCAGTAAGCAGTAGGGTTAGCGTGGGAGGACCTTATCCAACGGAGAGACAAAATAAGATCAAATAGGTCAATCAGCCCTGAGAATAGTATAGCGTGAGAGATCAGGTTGCTCAGGGAGCTGCTCATGTTCACTCCGTGAGCTGCTCAGGGCGATGGGTGGCTAATTCACTCTGTGCTCCGGGAGCCGATCACTATCCGAGACGGCAGTTTTACCGTCACCTAGATTACATAAAAATGTTAAACCAGATAGTATATGGCGAGCTCTACCTTTCCAAAACTTTGATTCACGTTCGCATAACATATAACGCTGTTTTGGATGTATCTATGTCTTCTGGCCTTGGTTAGCGGGTCCGAGCGTAGGGCACGACATTTTAGGCTTCCTTTCGTCTCTGGATTGTCCAAAAAGTCTCCCTGTTGTTCATCCCCTTTGACAAAAGCGAGTCTAAGTCTAATAACTCGTCTGCAAATTGACAATGGAATATCTCATATCAGATCAAATTAAAAAAAAGGACCGCCGTGATAATCAACATGGCCATAGTGGTCAAAATAAGCAACTTGGCCGAACGTATCACATTTACCCAAAAGACTCAGCAGAACAATACTCCGAACTTAATTCCAACTCCATCTTCTCCCAGAGTAAGAATCTAGATCAAACCCCGTGATTACTCAGGCCCATCCATCCTCTTCCCAGGGCAGGATTATCATAATACCGGTCATAGACACCCCCACCGTACAACATCCTTTTATAGTGTACCTCTAAGCCCCATGGAGTAACTACGCCGAAACAACCACCCACTGAGTAGATTCCGTTCAGACAGACTCTAGCGATCACCACGATTTAGTCAGAAACCCCCGATAAAAGTACTAAACGCACACTAAACCTTCACACACAGGCTAGTTTTACGCCCTAGCCTCGGATCATACGTTCATAAGTCCTCCACAATAGCACTAGTATCGATTTGGCAAAATACTCTTGAAAGTATGCTGACACACATGATCGGCGCATAGAAACAATTGTGCACGGGGGCATGGGATTAGATCGGGCTCGAACGAACGGAACGGGTTCAGCATGTGATGCCGAAAGCAGCAGGGGACATCGGCATCGCTGAGGAATCGAACCCTAATCCCGTACAAAGCTAATCCATTTAGACTTTGTATGCAGAGATATGTTGCATAACGGATATGTACATATGGCCGTGAACAAATTAAACCCGAGAAATTGGGAAAAAAAAAAAATGGTTATGCAGAAGACGCGCGCCGGAGTCGGAGCATAGACATCAAGATACACACAAGCCGTCCAGACTAGGTAGGGTAGCTCCAAATACGTAGGAAATGGCAGAGATTAAGAGATGATATCATATGTTCACATTGCTTCGTGCTTTTTGTAGTAAATCCCTCTATATCCATAGTTAATTCCAGTCCCGTGCAGTCCAAGATACAACAAGAACAAGGGACATCGTCAACGTCGTCACGAAAAGAAACCCCACCCCAAGGCCCGATCAAAAGCGCCGAATATGAAGGTCACCAAACAGGAAAGAAAGAAAAAGGTGAAAAAAAAGAAAACCAAAATTAACACCCTTGTCCAATCTTCCTCCGTACTGTAACAGATAGAAGATAGAAAAATATTAAAAAAAAAGTCGGCTAAAAGACCATTCCAAAAAGCACAAATCGTCCAAAAAGATGGGGAAAGTAACCCCACAGGCAGACACGAGGCGCGAGACACATGTCCGTGGTCAATGTCCAATGTCCGGAATTGTTGAGAGGTTTACTCATCCAATCCGATCCCGAGATCCGTATCAAGATCCGCCGTCAGTCCAACCCGTTGAACCTCGGCAGAACCACCCAAGCCACGCTCTGCCGAGCGCGGCTCCGCCAAGTGCGCAAAATCAAACACCTTAGGCTCAGTATCAAATCCCAAAGCATTCATATCGAACTCATAGGCTTTTTCCTCTGCGCCAACCCCAACACCAGAGCTAACCTGCTGCTGCTGTTGTTGCTGTTGCTGAGCCTCCTCGGCGAAAAAGTCATTCCCGGCATCATCGAAATTGATCAACGCATCAAAGTCGTTTTGCGTGACTTCGGCGTCGTTGGCGAGATCCATCAATTCGGTGAGACTCATTTCCGAGTGTAGATCTGGAATGATAAACGCATCGTGCGAGGCAAAGTTGGGGTTGAGATTGTTTGTGCTGCCGTTTTCGCTTCCGTCGGAGTGTGGGGGTGTGGATGCGAAGAGATCGGCGGTTGGTTGGCTGCGGGTAGTCGCGGGACCGGGTTTGGGGTATGTCAGGTCGGGGATCTTCTTGGCCAGAGAGTCTGGTGGAGGAGTAAGGGCGTTGGGGCGGGAAAGGATGTCGAAGGGGTCGGTGCTGGTTGAAGCTAAGGGGTTGGTGGTGGTGGTGGTGGTAGTAGTAGTGGTAGAAGCAGTAGTGCGGTTGTGGCGAGGGCGTGAGGATTGTACGTCTTGCGGAGAGACGGTGAGTTGAATGCCGGCCTTGCGGATGGCGGCTTCGAGGAAGGAGGTGGCAAAGTCGGCGGAGGCGTAGATTTCGCGGAGGCGCTGGAGAATGCGCATGCATTGGTAGAAGCGCTGGAGACTGGTCATGCGTACATTCGGGTCGCTGGACTTGATGTCCAGGAGGTGAATGATCACCGCGGGGAGAAGTACGGTGACACCGGTTGTAGGGTAGTACCGGGTCAGATCGAGAACGTGCAAGTCCTGGGCGATGTTGGTAATTTCCACCGCGGCAAAACGCACCTTGTTGCGGGACATCTCCTGCAACTCAGCGTCCGTGGAGGGATAGGGGACCGCAGGAAGGACCTGGGGTCGGTGCAGGGCGCTGGAGGTCGTGAGATAGACCATCTTCAGCAGAGCACGGTGAGAATGCAGCACCTCGTTGGCTTCGGATAGCTTCGAGCCATCGGAAGGCGAATATTGGGTTTCCACGGGGAGGTTGGCCAGCCAATCCTCCAGCTCCTGGTCACAGCGTCGCACTTCGAACGTCTCAGCAGTCGACTTCTTCGGAACCAGCATCATCGTGGTCTCCATGGTACCGCCAAACTTGTGGCTCAGTACGGAGTACTGAGCTGACAGCACGTGGCTAACGCACAGGCACAGTTTGGCCTTTTCGATAAACATCAACGCCAGTTCTCGCTGGTGGCTGACATTCCGCAAGATCTCAGAGTCTCCGACCATTTTTACAATTTCCGGAGAAAAGCTCTGGAACTCGAAATCGTCCAGGGTGAGCATGGGCACGTCACAGTCATCATCCTTGACACGCATCGGCCGTCGCATACCCAGCGCGATCAGTCGGTCACGGGTGTAGGTACTCCACCAGATGCGTTTCCACATCCGCTGGCGGCGAACGTCCATCCGCGAGTTGCCGGGGTCTCGGTGTAGACCGATGGTGTGGGCCAGAGAGAGACTGACACCCATCCAGTGCCAGGTGTCCTTTTGGTCATCGGGAGTTTCATACCAATAGGTCATCAGAAGAAGGGACTGAACGAGAGAGATACGATCCACCTCGTAGTCAAAATCGTACAAGAGTCGGGCACGCTGGAAGAAAATCTTGCGAGCCGCTTTGCGGGTCTGGTAACCGGCAGCCTGAAGATGTTTCATATCAATGAAGGCCATACCAGCGAACATGACCGCCTGGAACAGTAGAAGACTGATGCGGTGAATGCCATCGTTCTGAACGATGGTCTGAAGGAACTCCTCCAGATCCAGCAATGGCATATAGGTATGCACATAGTGGATGTAGGCCTTGAGCAACTCATTGCGCAGGCTCACATCGGGAATCGTCAGGGCGCCCTTGGCGGCTAGATAATCGATATCCTCTTTCTGCAGGCGTGCGGGTAGGCCGCGAATGTAGTCGGGGAGAAAGCCATTGGCGGTACGGGAGTTGGCAAAGTTGGGATCGAGCAGTTGCTGGATTTGCAGGGTGGCATTGGCGAGAGGCATGGACGAAGGAACGGCCGGATTAGGGGCCATTCGGCGACGGAAATGATCATCGGAGGGAATCCGATGAGCCTGTGATTGATCTATAGCAGAGCGAAGAGAGAGAATATTAGTGTTTGGCCACGCTGGTAAAAGCCAAGGGCAATTACGCACAGAGAAGGTGTGGCATATGTTGCCCGTGGTCCATGTCGACCGAGTTCTGCGAGGGCGACGTTGGCTCCATATCATGCATCCCATGTAAAGAGCCCAAAGACCCTAGAGGATTCTCCTCTGAGACTTCGCCGGGCGACTCGGAGGTGTGGGTAGTATCCACGTCGACGCGCGACTTCCTATCAAACCACAGAACAAGCCGATGTTAGTTTTTGAATAATACGTGACTTATTATAATGCATTTTCCTCGTCTCTCTAGTATAAGCTGAAATGGTCACGAACTTTCTCCGCTTGCTTTCCGTGACAATACATTCGACCTGGTCGAGGCGACAATTCGTGCATGGCGAACCGTTCTCTACCACGTCGCAGCGAACCTTGCGAGCTCTGCAGCAGCAACAGGCCTTCGAAGCTCGACGTTTCACAGGGCGGTTTTGGGCGGAGAGACCGGCGACCGAAGCCTTGCGTTTTCCAGAATCAGAATCGGTCATGGTGGCGGATGCACTACTCATGATGGTGGCGATGATTTTATGACCGGGGGGCGATCGGAGCACATTCGACGGATGCGCTTAGAAAGATGATGGTTGGGATAGTATATTGCCACACAGACAAATAGAAGATAGTAGAGAAGGGAAGAGCGGAAATGAAGGGGGGAAGGGGAAGGGGCAAGAGGAGAGGAGAGGAGAGGGGAGAGGGGAGGAGAGGTTGAAGCTGGAGGAGTGGAGAGGGTCTGGGGAGGATGCCGCGCCTGGGGCCGGGGACACGGAGTGTTTAAGTATATGGAGATTCTGGAGTACATCGACGATGGGAGAACAAGTATCAACCCCTCGAGTCAACGTCCAGTCCACTCACGAACCCAGGAACTAAAAACTCCCAAGAAACTTAGGTTGGGGCAGATCCGTGCCAGAGCTGAAATGAGATAAATTAATTACTTTTATTCTTCGAACGGCCCCAATCACCTTGGGGATTATTCAACTAAACTCAGACGGGCAAGAATTCCCCACACGAGAGGCATTTCCACATTCGAAATGTGGAGGACTGGCGTCACAGTCGCCGAAATCGGAATAGCGGGTTGGCATGTTTTTCAATTTTTCTTTTCTGTTTCGTGGGTTCTTGTTTCTCGTGGCAGTCTGGCACGTTCGGATGAGTAAGGAACTTACTTAAGGGGGTCCGCCTGCTACCTCCTAGCCGATGATTGGCTCCTCAAGTTCCAAGAAGACCAGAAGAAAGTTGTCCGCAAATCGCCAAAAAAGTGCTCGGCCCGCTCGTTGGACCTGGTTCGGAACCGCTACGGTGCCGAGTAGCCGATGCTACATGTCGCGGACCTTGGTGTATTCGGGAATTATATCACATTTTCCTGTACGCTTAGGACGAGATCAGATATAGGCTGGAAATTGGAAACTGTTCCATATTTTTCTACAATCACACAAAAGAGAAGAAAAAAAAAAAAAAAAAAATCCAATCCAAGAAAATTCCTGCTCGTTGAACTGCTGGTGGAGTACGTGTGTCATGGACCGCACTAAATGTGGTAATTTACCGCGGCGTATTGACCTGGTACCAACCGGGGCCTGGAGTCCGCCGTATAGCCACCGCCACGCAGCCGATCCTAGCAATGTTTCACAGGGCGACAAATACTATGATCATTGATAATGTACTATGGCTAGCCCAGTAAGGCTTCTGTTGGAACTTTTAAGTTGTAATCCCTGCCCTACATATCTTCCGTTAACCACACACTATCAACGACAATATCACACCATCGGCCCCGGACCGATAGGACCGATAGATGGGCGACATTTAAAACTTCCGAAATACGCCGACCAGGTACAGAACCTGCAGGCAGTACATACAAGAGTCACTACTAGCGAGTTGTAGTGTACATACAATATGGAGAACGTAGACTCCGTAGACAGCCGCGCCAAAAGGTCCCGCATTACCAAAATCCGCAATGGAACTCCATGGGTCCTCCTGCTTCCTTTGCACCCCTAAAATTCTTGACTGTATCTTGAATTCTGGGTTTCTGGATCCTGGGAGATCGGAGGCATTTACGGAGAACGGAGTAGCGTGTACCTGGGACCTGGGGCTGAGGACTGGGGCTGGACCGGAAAGGATTTCTACAGGACCCCATGACAGCCAGAAGTTTTTTTTTGTGGTTACCACTAGACCTCCACAATTCCGCATTTCCAGCCCGCACTCCAGTAATACTAATTTGATTCTGTATTGTTCATCTTCCAAAAAGACTGGAAGGGCTGGAGAAGTCCGATGGCGGAGAAAGAAGCGGGACCCGCGGGGTGGAGGCTTGTCGCAGGCTTACCATTTTCGGGTCTATGGATGATTAATGGATAATTGAGATTCGCGAATGGCATAATGAGGATCCGCCAGTGTCGCTTTTCAGGCCGAGTTGCTGATCCAGGTCCCACTGCAAAGAAGATCAATGCAAATCAATGCAACGGTACGAGGATCGAGGATGTTGGCACGAAGCATTATTTACTGACAGACAACGGTAATTGAGCTAATGGAGAGGAAAACTCTTACGAATATCTCGATTTCCATACGGACGCAAGACTGTACATATCTCGAACTACAAGCTACTGGGTTTGATGTAAATAGCTTTCGACGGTATACTGCGGAGTTATACATCCGCAGATTGCCATCCACCGTCGGAGAGTTTTCCGGAGCGGTGCCTAGCTAGACCACTAAATATGGTTCACCTAAATATCCCTGTCTCTCTTTGCTCTGTGCATTCACCCATTACTCAGTGGGTCTGGAGCCAGCAGTGGAACACGCCGACTTAGCGACGCCAACGCCAACGGCCCCAATGGAATGATTAATAACTATAATCTACTCCCCACAAAAGCAGACTCAACGACAGAATAGTCGACCAGATAAAGCAATCCCGGGTACTATCCTAGTCATATTCCCGTATATCCATCCACTCTTCACGCAGTGCAGTATAAGCCCCAACTTCCTCCTCCCATTCCTCCCGAACAACCGGAGAACCACCCGTTTGCCTCCACAAATGATCCCATCCCATTCCAACCCCCCCCCTGAAAAAACTTAAATCACCCACAACCGGACCGACAGTCCAGATCATTGAAAAATTATGCAGCCCCGAGTCCGAGTCATCTATGGGGTTCTGTGCTGGATAATCATTGGTTAGGAGACATTTTCTTCTGGAGGTTCTCAGCATGCAGGAAATAGGACTAGCGTGTCTGCCACAAAGTGCCGATATTCGGAGGTATCGCACGTCAATCAGGAATTAATGCGCTCGAGGTGCATGTAGTACAAGTACATGACAGGCAGGTTATATCCCGCATGCGACCAGAGTACATATTCCGCGCGCCTAGTGTTACAGAAGCGGGAGGTTAAATCATACCACGCTCTAAACCGTCTCATCGTCAGCGATAGCAAAGGGCCTTGTCCTAAAATCCAGTATCTGGTGGATTAAATAAGAGCCTCATCGAGCAGGAAATAATTGGAGGAGGAAAAACTACTTCCGAGAACGGGGGATCTGAAGAAACAGAAAACGGAAAAAAATGAAAAAGGGAAATCCCCAGTCCCTTGGAAAATTATGTACAACGAGGCCCGTAATTCCCAGATTCCACCACCACCAAACCAAAAACCATGTGGGGAAATCACGAGGGCATCGGGGGATTGCGGGGCGCCGCTAAAACCTGGCTGGGCCTAAGTTTTCTCCTCTCAACGGAGTCAACTGCCTGGGACCCAAAGTAATCGGACCAATCATTAATAAGCATTGAAGCGCTGTGACGAGAGAACTCTACGCGCAAAAAAAAAAAAAAAAAAAAGAGAACACTCCCTACAACAATACGATTCCTTAGTTCTGCTCCATGTTCTACTGCGTGTATTATCAATGGCAATCAAAGCGGCCAAAATAGAGTGGAACAACGACACCAATTAAAAGCCTGGCATGGGTCAAGGTCCCGAATCTGCTAGCCCGTGTCTCTGGCATACATACTTGACACTCCGTACTCCGTACCAATCTGCATACCATCCTTGCGTACTGTACTCCGTCGGACTTGGGAATCCAGACCCTTTGACACTCCGCCCCCGGCTTTATCCGTCTGACACAATCTTCGATCCAGTCACGGCCATTCATGAAGAAATATACAATCCAAAACGGGAAATCCGGGGATGAGTGGCTTGCGGGTTGAGTGTTTTTGGCCCTCGAACTTGCGGGATTAAAATTTAGAAACATAATCAATGGGGCCCGGTAGTTATGCAGTATCTTTAGTTAAGCCTCGACCGATATTAGTATCTAACAAGTACATCATAGATCTAATCACCATCGTTGAGAACATGTACATGCTGTCCAGATTCAAACTCAGCGAGCTTGTGGCTTTGTAAAATATCCCGTCCTAGGAGCCGACCCGGAAAGCCCAGACTGACCGGGATAGGGTCCCGAAACAAAGTAGGCAAGCTTCACTGCTCATCACTAGCCGCGGGCCGCCTTAGTACATACAGACATAGACATACCCGCTTAATCGGGCGCCCGGGTGCAGGGGAGCTCGTGTGAGCCAGAGCTACTTTGGCAACGAGATATCACCCACCTCTCCAGTGATTAGGCTACGGCGGCAGCAAGGAAACTTGCGACAGCGACAAGGCTTGGCCCTAAAAAAAAATCACGGGTCTAGCCAGAAAAGACGCAGAACGACTCTGGCCAGAATACTACAACTGGTGTTGCCAGACACTCAATCAATAAGGCCATCAACAACAACGCGGAGAGATGTCCCACCATCGGCCATCGCGCCGGTCGCCCGTAAAACACGCACCATGACTCGTGATACGTATTCCTTTTGGGGAGGCACCAACTAAATACACGGTTTAGTTGGAATAGACGTCCGAGCTCAGGGTTCACCTACCGAAACGAATCAACGAGCGCCTAGTGAAAAGATACGCAGCGGGGGGGGGGGGGGCTTTGACAGGAGCGGATCCCCCAATCTATCCATGAATCACCAACCATCACGACGAGACGGTCCTATTCGAAGATCGGAAACATCTGCGCACTGAGCACGGCAGCTCGCAAAACAAGCCACCCCACGTTTCGTCGGAGGAATGCCGATACGCAAGCAGACGAGCGAGCTAGCGCCTAATCTGCCGTCCGCTATTTGGGGCGGACCACTAGAGAGCTTTCCCCCCCATTCCCACCAGACCAGAAATGGACTGTAGCTAACCCAGTGGCTAGCAACCTGGGACGGTCGGGGGCATTTGATCAGCGCCTAGAGCTGGGAAAGCTGGCGGGGGATACTGTCGTGAGGGCTAAAAAGTGGCGTCATTGCAACATCAACCAGACCGGAGGCGGTTAGACAGGCGAGGGGATCGAAGCCCAAAGCTCACCAGTGGATATTGGTTTGTGTGGGGGTTTCATTTGCCGTAAAAGACAAGTACTCGCCATCACCGATCGAGACAAAGAAGAGATAGGTATTCATATATCATCAAATGGTCAAATGATCAGTGGTCACCTTGTTAATGCTAAGTCGCAAGCAGAACCGGACGAAGGGACTCGGCCTCGACGGGACATCCCAGTCAACTAAAAACTCTGGTGAGACTCGGCACCCCGCGATGACTGAATCATGTCCGATCGTGCGGAGGGGGGGGAAGGCCGGGCTGTCAAGTGGAGAATAGGGAGAATTCCACCACCACTCATCCAGTACGACTTGGGCAGGTCCGGGTCAGGGTCAATTCGCCTCCCCGGATTTCCTGTCTTTGGTGGCGCGCAAATGATTCAGAGTCCAATCGGAGGGTCCTTGCCACTTTGGATCGTCAATGAATTCAAAGGAAAAAGGTTCCGGGGCGTTATACTCAAATGGGTGTGATTTGGCGTTTCCCCGGATGGTCCGGTTCAGTTAGAAGGCTGGTGATGGCGATAGTCACCAGTGGTTGAATACCTTCAGTAGAGAAGTATATTGAGGTGTATTAGAATTCCAGGGTACCTGTACTTGGTCGACCTAGATTTCTGATATGTGACAGAGCACCGTCCTGGTCACGTCGGTCATTTCCTTGATTCTAAGTGGGTACGGTCGACGGAGAGAGCCCTCTTGAATATATATCTCTCAGCACATCACGACTTGAAGCAAGCCCATCCAAACTTTGAAAGATCGAAGAAAACCTATGTTTGGTTTTCCCAACAACTAACAAAGACCGCTTCTACCAAAGTTTTTTTGCTCCATGATTGCAATCTAGCCTGAACGGTCCAGCTACTGCTATAGATGGCCATGGATGCTCATCCGTCTCCTACACTACCTTAAATCACAATCACCCACGATCTATCTTCCACCTAGGGATAAGCCCCAAACCCCAAAATCGAAATGAATAAAAAATGTATTGACTTCATAGCACGTAAAAACATAAACATCGTAACCGAAACCCGAACCATTCCTTTTTTCCCCCTGCCCGGACATACTTCATCAGACCCAGGACAAGTAACAAATCATTGAAAAGAATCACATAAAACATCATTGCGGAAGGGGAATCAACCGATAACCAGAATAAAGCAAAAGCAATGGAATGCGACATGCTGCGCGTATCTCCCCATCTCCAAAGTCATCAATCAAAATGCATAGAAAAGAAAAGGGTGATAAGGGTGATATCAACCACAAAAATGAAGCAGGGAATGCACATTCACACCCCAACTCTATGCACCACCACGGCCCATCCGCTCAATCGAGCTCATAATACCACCCCGACCTGGCGTGAACACTGCAATGCCTGATTTTCCCCCACTGTTGCCACGTGAATGACCACCGGGAGCACCGAACCGGGGAATACGCTTCTCGGTCGTGGCAGGAGGGCGGATGCCACTTGACACCGAGCCTGAGCGGCCGATGCTGCGGTTGAAAGATTCAACCGGCTCTCCAGCAGACTGATACTCCTCATCGTGGACACCTGCCGAGGAAACCGAGAGCTCACGCTCACGCTCACGTTCCTGCGGCTGGGACTGGGCAGGCTGACCCTGTTGCATGGCGAGCCACTCATCGACAGCGGCGACAAGATCGCCCTTCTCGGCGCGCTCTGACTTAAGCTCCGAGCGGAGACGCTCACTATCTTCCTTAAGTGCAGCCATTTCTTGCTGCAGACCCTTGACTTGGGCCTCAAAGACACGCTTCTCGGTCTCATGTTCATCGTTTTCGCGGGCAATCATACTAGCATTGGCAGCGGCCATGGACTCGGATTGTGCTTCGTCACGCTCAACTCTGAGACGCTCGTTGTCTTGAGTCGCAAGGTTGAGTTTTCTCTCCACCTCGCGCAGGCGCTTCTCCCAACGAGCCTCGTAACTCTTCTTCAGAGCAGCAACTTTGGTCTCGTGCTTGCTCTTGTAAAGAGTGTGCAACTCACGAGCGACTTTTTCAACGGCTTCTTGCACTTCGCGAGCGGTGGCCTCGGCGGATTGAGAGCCCCGGCGAGACCCAGCGTTGGAGCTAGACTGAGATGCGGATGCCGCCGACGAGCGTGCGGCAGAGAGCTGGGTTTCGAGCTCGACGATCCGGCCTTCCAGCTGCTCTTTGGCTTTCTCCGCCTCTTCGACCTTTCGTGAAAGACGTTCTCTCTCACGCTCGCCGTCTTCCAGTTCATCCCGAACCGATCGCAGGACAGTCTCCATCTCTTTACCCCGACGGGCCCATTCAGCCTGTTCCATCTCAAGCTCGTCTTTCCGGGCAGCCTCATTTCGGGCTTCTTCCAAGGCTTCGCCAACACGGCGCTCTGCATCAGCAACAGCCTGCTTATAACTAGCAACCTCGGCTTCTTTGCCGCTGAGGGTAGCCTTGAGAGAAGAAATCTCAGACATGAAGCTCGACTTCAACGACTCAAGCTCTCGCGGTGTGATAGAAGGAAGAGATCGAGGAGTCGGTGCTGCCGGGATATCAAAGTCCAAGAGAGATGACATCTTTGACGGCGATCGAATAGACTGACGCATAGGTCGCATGGGAGACCGCCGGTTGGGAGTGTAGCGGGTACTTTGCATCGAATGACGCGGGTAAAAGTTCATCTGATCCGTGAAATCAAGAAGATTGGATGACTCGCCCTGGTTGCCAACGTCCCGAGACCCCCTGCGCCTGGGAGTAGGTGATCCCATCTGCGAGCCGGTATCGAACAATGCGCTAGCTCTGTACGATCGGCGTGCAGTTCCGGGGGTAGACGGAGCAATGCTGCGACGATAGGCATCGGCCGCCTGTCCTGGTCTGGGATCAACACTACTGCGCATAGACTTCAAGGGAGAGTCGGCACGCAGATTTGCGAAGGAGGTCATGTCCGGCAGAACGGAAAAGTTGCTCAAACCCGTATCATCCATGGGGTCATGATCATCTTCACCCAACATGGAATGTTCATCGGCGCGCTCAAGGCGTACGTTCTCTTTGCCGGTCTCTTCATCATCGTGCAGCACAGTGCTCATGCCCTCGTTGCGCTTATCTTCCACCATGCTGTTGGCAATTGCCGACCGATCGTGCGAATTGCTCGTGGCCGAGACGAAGCTTTGGTTGTGAATGACGCTGGACTCTTCCTCGAAATCAATGTGAATATCCGGTGCCTCAACTCGGCTGATCATGCCTTTCTTATACCGCTCATTGCTCTGAGATTCCACCTCGTGATCCTGCGGGGTCTGATCAAACGAGCGCTTCCTAGGTGTAGCAGTGGGGCGGTAGTCATCCACACCGAGAGAGGCTCGAGGTGCAGAGCGAATCTTCTGAGAACTGATCGTGTCGTCTCTCTCATCATATCGGAATGAAGAGTTACGAGAGCTAACGGGAGATTGGGACGCCTTTCCAAACGACTCCCGCTGTAATGCGCGAGATACATGAGAACTGACTGTATCATCCTTGGCGTCCGAAGGTCGACGGAAAGGAGAGCCACTCGCCTCAACAGGCGCATGTTGCGCCGCCCGTCCCATCGAATATCTCTTCTTAAGCGATTCACGACGCATACCGTGAGATTGTCGGGAGCTGACGGTATCGTCTCTATCACGACGGAACGGCGAATCACGCGGTCCAGCAGGAGACTGAGTGGGCCGTCCTCCAAACGACTCCCCCTGCAGTCCCCGAGAGACATGCGAGCTAACCGTATCATCCTTTGTATCCTGGCGGAACGGAGAGCTACCTGTCTCAACAGGAATAGCCTTTGACAACCTGCCAACGGACTGCCTCTTCCCAAATGACTCGCGCTGCGCCTCGCGCACATTCTCAAGATCGACAGTCTCCTCTTGGACCTCAGGTCTGAACGGCGAGCTCCCACCTTGCTCCTCCTGCTCATCAAATCCAGGTGAAGTGGGCTCCTGCGACGCGCGCATCCGGTCAAAATCCACAGTTTCATCTCGAAGGTCGGCGCGGAACGGGGAGCTGGCCGGGTCTTCAAATGCTAGCCGTTTATCCAAGCCGGGCGACAAAGGCTGTACTTCATGCAAGCGATATGAATCACTATCTCCCTCCTCATTCTCGTCACGGACATCAGCCCGAAAGGGCGAACTCGGCGGCTCGTCTTCCTCTTGGATTGGGAATTGAAGGTGTGAACTCGCACTCACGCCGGCTGAAGGCCGTTGTTGTCCCATATACTGGCGCATATTATGAAAATCAACGGTATCGTCGCGGGCATCATATCGGAAAGGTGAACTCGCAGGTTCTTGTTCTTGGTCTTGGTCGTCGTATTCGTCATTATCGTGGTTGTGTGGGGAATCAGGTTCGTTTTCATGCAGATTGATCTCGTAGGGACTAGGGCTCTGCGCGTCTGCTTCTCGGTCTGTCCATGCTTGCTTCAATGGACTCGAGACCATGGCAAGGTCTTTGGCAATCGGGGCGTCGAGGAAGGGCGAGGAACCGGCCATTGGTGAGCGGGCTCGCACGTTCTGGTAGGAGGGGGAGAGGGGGGATAGTGGATTTGACATTTTGAATTGTGTGAAGAGGATGTCTTCGTTCCTCTTCAGTTTGTGTGAAAAGGAAGATTGTGGCCGAGAAGGATCCTCTCGTGTTTGGGATTCAACGTGCAGCGGAAGCGGGAGCGTTGCTATGTAAACAGAGCTAAGCCGTTTTTGGAATAGTGGGTGCGGTGAAGTATATCATGTACTGCCTAGGTAAGATTTTGGGGGCGCATCATTGAATAAGGGAATCATTACGTGTAATATAATGAGCAGAAGAGTTTAACTTAATTTTTGAAAAATTCTAAATCTCTATGATGGATATAACAGACCGCTAAAAGCTATGCAGGCTAGTCGCTAAAACAGGAGCAATAATCGAAAACAAGACAGCGACAGAAAAGGCGATACCCACGAATCCCCGTCAGGATGTGAGAAAGCAGATCGGGAAAATCTTGAAGCAGTTTCGAAGGAAACCCACTCATTGCGACACCGAAGCAATACCCACATCAGCCTGAGCAGCATCAGCATCAGCATCATAATCTGTCACGATGATATGCACGATATCATTCGGCACTTGCTCCGGAACAGGAACGTATTGACACGTCACCGCAGGAGCCATCGTAGCCGAAGAACCTCTCTTGCGCTGAATAAACCAAAGCTGAACCGCACCTAGCAACGCGACGAAACAACTCCCCCACCAAGCAAGCGCCGTACATTCCACTTCAGCACCGGTACTATACAGAAATCCCGCAATGGGAGGCGCGATAGTCCGAGAAGCAGCACCCGCCGAGGCAGCAAGACCGTTGATCTTGCCCAGCACCGAGTCCGAGGGACTAGCTTGTTTGATCAAGATGAGGAGCACGGGGTAGTCGATGATCGACAAGATGTTGCGGACGATCAGACAGGCGTAGATACCGACGAAGGTCAGATTTTGGGGGAGGATAGCCACGAAGGGAACCATGAAGTAGGCGACCGGGTGGAGGATTGTCACGACGACGAAGAGACGCCATACGCCGAGCCAGCTGGCTAGGGCGGGGAAGATGAGGCTTTGGATAACGAGGGCGATGATCCCATCCGTAGACATTATCATGCCTACTGTCTGGGTTGAGAGGCCGACTCCACCTGGAATATGGAGGAGAGAGTGATGGCCTGGCGAGTGACCAGGGGATTTTTCGTCTTGCAGAAAGATAGGCAAAAGATGGTCGTAGGTCATGGAGTGGTATGTGAAGATGGCCAGCGCGATCACCAGCATTGTCACCCGCCACGTGAAAGCTTTTGGTTTCTGAGACTTTTTCCAGGCGATAGACGTCCCATCTTCCATGACGTCCCAGCTTTCATGTATGCTGACTTGGTTAAAGGTTCCGTAAGATTCGGCTCGGAGGTCAACGCCAGCGTTAGCGGTTGCACCGGAAGTTGCGAGAAGAGGTTGTTCAGCTGAGGTGTGCTCAAAGAATAAATGGATGCTGTGGCATTGCATCTCTGGATGGGTTTCCTGAAGGAAGAACCAGCCGCCAATAATGCTCAACAGCAACAGGACGGAGCAGACCAAGTTGGGAAGAAGATACGGAAACCGTCCAAAGAGACCTTCGGAAGGGAATAGCGAAGGGTAGCTCTCCGAGGGTCTAGCAAGAAGACCTCCGATTGCTGAAAAGATAAGGTTACGAATCAGCGCCATATCTAGGAAGTGTCGCAACGATGGGTAGGTGCTTACCTGGTCCAATGATAGTCCCAATGGACCAGACGAAAGGCATAATAGCATAAGCACGAGCTATGAGGAAAACACCGTTAGCACAAGCACTTAGAATTCAAGAAGCACGTTAACTTACGCTCATGCTCCGGCCGTTTGACCAACTCCCCAACCATCGTCTGAATCACCCCAATATTCCCGTTTAACGCACCCCCTAACGCCCGTCCCGCAAGCGCAACCCAAAAGTTCGGAGCCAACCCAACTAGGAGCAACGAGAGCATAGTCCCAAAGCAACCACACAAAAGAACGGGTTTCCGGCCAACCCGATCCGAAAGGCTACCCCAGAACATACCCGTCATAGCTTCGGCGAGTGAAAAAGCGGAGATCAAAATGCCAGCGTAAAAGGAAGCATCGCTACCGTTCGCCATGTGAAAGTCCTTGACCATTACCCATGAGTATGGGAAGATGGAGGTCAAGGCTATGGGCTCTGCGACACGACATATTGCTGGAAGTGGGGGATGTCAGTGTAAGTTCAGTCCGGTTGGGAGACTCCATGTGATTTGTGTACCCAGGATAATGGTAAGGCACAAAGATAGTAGAATGACATACCCAACAGAAAGAGCTGGAGAGTGGGAAAGCTATCGTCGGTAGAAACGAGAGACCTTGGCTGTCGTGTTAATACCATCGTCCCGTAAAAGTATTTTAGACCTTACGGCTATCCCTCTCCACGACGGTCGAGTCTTCTGGCTTGATCTTCGAATGACGGTTCGCTATGCTGGCCGTAGACTAGCAGGAAGAAGAGAGAATGTGCAGATTGTCTTCAGAGGTTGAGAGTGCAAGCGCGAGAAGAAGAAGATGGAATATCAGGAAGAAGAAGGAGGGGAAGGGAAGAGAAGCGGCGGAGAAAAGAGTCTGCAATTTTCATTACTCAATAATCTATAGGCAGCGCTTGGGCCAACGACTCGGCGGCCCTGATTTTTCGACTGTTTCCAGCGATAAGCCGCCGCCCCTTTGAGGAATGTGGCCGAGTGCGGGGACTGTTTTCAATTATTTAGTTGTCGTGTCGTTGATGATGCTATATGCTTGATCCCTTATAAAATGATCATTCATTGTAGAAGAAAATAACAATAGTTACTATTATCTATTGACTTCTCAGTCTCGTGGTTCCTCCAAGGAACCCGACAAAGTTTGAAGTGGCGAGCCCCGAACTGAAAAACTGCCGCTCACATGAGCGGTGCCGAGTGCCGACCAACGAGATACGGAGCACAAGTAAATACGAACTACACGCTGATAATCCTCTATCAACCTGATACCTCTACAAATTATATGTCCAGGAACCAAGACATAGGAACTTCCAGATCATCGGAAACCTCCGATCTGAATTTCTTCTGCCAATAACCCCGTATTTATGAGCCACCGTTCGCGCCTCCACCCCCTTGCTTAGCGGCCGTTGCGGCCAGTTTCTTAATCGCGGCCGAGCCAATCACGGAACTCTCGAACCCCGCCCGGCTCTGGATGATCGGTTTACATAAGTACAGCACACAAAACACTACACGGAAATTTGGGGCAATTACGACGCTGAGTCTAAATAGGAACGTCCCCTACGAGAATAACAGTATATCCGATATCAATAGCATAAATGCTAGGCCGTGACATATAGTGGTAGTTCAACTAGTTAGAACAATAGGAGGGAAAAAAAGGCCTAGCCAGACCCGCTTTGACCTGCTCTATACCTGAAGATCTTTCGGAATGTCTTTTCAATGATCTTTGCAGAGAGCCCGAGGAATGTCTCTTGGCTCATCTTCCAAGGTATAACCGATAAGATGATTTAGAAGTTTAAGGGAGGGATCTAAATATATTAAACCCCACTGTATATACCTTATGCTACCACTGCCTGCAGTGCCATGTGTATGATCTATCACTTTCAGCGATCTATTTGGAGCCAAGGAGCGGTCGAAACTCCTACAAATTACAGATGGGAACAATAGCTGGGTGTTTACATGGTTCCAAGCGAGAAGATTAAAGTAGCCACGGAAGGATTTAGGGCTAAGAGATACATAGTGACGAGCGTACGACGGAGATTGGAGTGAGAACCCGGATAAGACGCCCAAGAGGCCGAAGGAACGAGATGGATGGGAGGTAGGGTCAAACTTGGACGTATCTCTGTCATAGGTGGAGGGAGACACAAATGCCGGATAGAAAGAGAAATGGGTGCTATGGAGACAGTAACGATGAACATGAGGGGAGCGATATGCCCGAATCAGATAAGGGAGAAAACACCCACATCCACCAAAACAAGTTCGAAAATCAATCCTACCCTGCGACGCCGGTTGAATCCCATTTCAATGCGGACCTTATGACAAGACCTCTAACGGAAACAGAAAATTGTTGGGGTGGGAGAGGGAAATGAGGGCTCACACCTCCATGATCATGGTCATGAGGTTGCCTCCGTGTTCGCCTCGTTTGTGATCTCAACTGAACGAGTCTCGAGCTCCTTGGGCAAGATGCCACCAGGGCTACCTTGCACTTCCACAGGGGCTTTCACGTCGGGGATTGCGTCGGTCTTGGTCGGGTCACTATCCTTCCCAACCGCATCAGCCGAGGGCTGGTGAACAGAAGGGGCTGCGCTGGAGGAGCCTTCGGCCTGCTGCATAGCGTCCTCAACATGCTCCGGCTCATGGCCCTTGTCTTCATCGCCAATCACGGCGGCCAGACTCCGAAAGTTGAACATGGGCTCTAGAGACGTACTACTCGCGTCAGCCGACATGTGGCCGCCGGGACGATCGCCAGCGTTGCCCTCCATGATGGACGATATCGACGATGATGCACTAGACACATGTCGAAGGTGAGACGGTCTTGAAGGTTCCGCAGTTCCCAAAGGATCGGGCAGAGCCAGGCTTTGATCGGCCAGACTAGATGTGGTGGATGAAGGGGGTGCGGAGGCGTCCACAGCGGCCGGAGACGCACGGTCAACGGCTTTGCCCTTCCCTGCCGACGGCCCTTCTTCGGCAATTGAAGACGAACTGCTGGCTTTGCCCACGGCATTTTCAATAGGGACCGATAATGCTGACGTGCTAGCATTGTTGCTGTACAAGCCAGTCTTACGAGCCGCCTTATCCGCCTTCTTCGCCTCCTTCTCCTTCTCCTTCTCCCTTCTCTTGGCCTCCTTTCGGATTTCCTTCTCTTCTCGCCTCCTGCGGTCCTCCTCACTCGCCAAACTCAACCGAATCGCTTCCATCATCATCATCTCCTCCAAATCATCAATGCGGGTGCGTCGCGAACTGTCTCGCGGTGGTGCGATATTTCCCTGTCCTTCCTCCGCCGAGTCGGTATCCGGCGCAGACACCCGAGGTGGCGTTCGATCGGGCCGTTCCGTCAAGAATGCGAGCGCATTGAGTGCAGGGGATCCGGACCGGCCGGCGTCTCCCTGCGTAGCTCTTCGCAAACCTCTGCGACCCAGACCGATACCGCGCGAATCGCTCCCCGATGGGTTAGAATTCATCAAATAGGCCGCAGTGTGCAAGGCAGTCGCCGCGGCAGAACGTCGTGCCGCATGCGCACGGGCATTTGCTAGTTTCTGAGCCCAGTCCGGACGAACCTTGTCCGTCGTGACTACACCCGGATCGGTCGCAGACAAAGAGGTGGCGCGGCGGCGGCCAGGCGTGGGGAGAGCATGTGCGGAGACCAAGGAAGACGTGGAGGAGACGGGTGAAATGATGTTGGGGGAGGGACGGGCGCTCGGGTCGGCGGCATAGGTCAGGCCTCGACGGAAGGGTGGCGGGGCGTAGGTGACTCCAAACTCGGGCTGGACACAGAATGGACAAGCCGAAGGTTCCGAGACCAACTGGCCATCGGTGGATTCAGCCGCTTGTTGTTGTTCGCCTTCAGCAGGGGCCGGAGTGTTAGCATCGTGTTGTTCGTGCTCTGGAGGGTGCGGATCCGGGCGCTTGATCTGAACGAAGCACTCGGAGCAAATGGGCTGGTCACAGCATCGAGTCCGGTTGAGATACGGCGGGTAGTACAGGAAGCAGATCGGGCATTCGATCGCATCCTTGTAGATGTAGACCTCAATTGGCTGGCCGTTGACAAACGGATCCTTTGGAAGCTGCAGTTCCCGAGGAGTCAAATCTGTCTGTGAGCCATGCCTTGAAGAGGTGGTGAGGGCTGCAAGGGTCTTGGCGCGGGTGCGGAAGAACGGTGACGTAGATGTACCGGACGCTATCGCAGAAGGTAATGACTGGCTGGGGTTGGAGATTTGCGATACGTCGGAATTGAGGGATTGCGACCGAGAGGTGATGGGGACCGTGAGATGCTGGATGTTCACCTCGGCCGACGCCTTCGTCTCGCTGGCCTTTGGTGGCGTGTACTCCAACTCCGGGGGAATCTCATCAGGCGGGGGAATGGGCATGCCGCGGGCTGCGGCCATGATTTGGTGTTCCGCCCACGATTCTGAGAACTCGTTCAGTCCTCTCCAGAAGGGAGCCAGTCGTCGCTCAATCTAGGGGGTGCCACGGGGGTCAGCACATAATTGCATCATGATTTGCGGGGTTCTCCGCGGGGGAGCCTTACCATTAGTTGTCGAACGACCGCCTTGTTGAAGTCCTCCGTGCCCACATACACACCCTGAGTGACCAGATAGCCTCCATCCACATGTTCCTCTTTCATACTGCGCTCCCGCTCCTTCACACGAGCAACACGTTCCTTCTCCAGGCGGCGGGCCTCCCGCTCCTGTTTACTTTCGCGCCGGTGTTCCAATGAGGCCACGTCACGGTCATCGCGATCTCGATGACTGCTCCCGATTCCGAGGATGGACAAGTCAGGCCGACTGCTTCTGCCCGACCGGGGATTTTGATAGACGACCCGGCCACTACCGGAGGCATCGGATGAGGACCATTGCTGACGGTGCGGCGTTCCGGCTCGCGATTCCTTCGTTTGGGAGTTACCCATCTTGACACAAAGGAAATGGGCGGAGAAAGGAGGGTGGAAGGGAGAGGGGGCTGGATGACCGTCAGGTTGGACCTGAATCGGCCACTAGGTTGGCACGGCGTTCCTCCGAGGGGGTGGAGAGGGCCCTCAAGGGGCAAGAGTCGCAAGGGAAAATAGACAATAGAGAAGGAAGTTTAACGCCAAGAGGAGGAAAGCATAGGAGCCTAGTTTTTAGATTTGACCGGTGACATGTGGAGGTCAAATGGTCGGAGAGATGAAGCGGGGAGAAGAGGGGGGAGATCTGTCCGGAGGAACTTGAACTGGGGAAAGTAGTCAGATCGGTGAGAGGGAATGCTCAGGAATGAACCGACGGGACGGGACTACGTAAGAGGGACAACCCGTGAGGATCGGATGTGGCGGATGCCCTGTGGACGACTGGGAAGATCGGTGGTTTTTATAAACACTAAACGTTGGAGTTCTGTCGGCTGGGCTCAGTTGGGTATCTTGGGTAGAAGAGGATCATCCCCGGTCTGTCTACGGCCAGCCAAGCATCCTCAATGCATCTTGTCGTGTGCCACGAGACTGTCGTCAGCGTCGGTTCACCTTCCAAGACCATGACCTAAAGGCTAAGGGAGGGCACGAGAACGATTACATCAGCTCCTGTGACCCGCCGAGGTCGATCGATCAGGGATACTGTACATACAGTACGGAGTACTCCGTACGGTAGTAGGCAGTCATCTTGGTACCCTGGCCCTCTTATCCAGTCTCTCCACTCAACTCTCCACTCGGGGGCGCATTATTATCGGCCAATCTTCCATGATCGCCTCGGCAGTTGCCCCGTCCTCGGACTAGGTCAGGTTGACTGTTAAGTGGGAGAGTCAGTGGCCATCATCATAGATATTAATGGAGGTTCACTATAGTTCGATCACATGTCAAATTTATAGTATCTTTAATTCAGAAGCTTCTTCTTTATGCTCATATTGTTCTGATTTCATCCCTTGCCCCTGTCAAGTTACTTGAATTTGATGAGATAAGGCTGATAGGAGCCATTGTCTCGAAAGCATACCCCGTTGATGCATATCAGACCTTACCAGTGATAGTACCAATTAATCTCAGCTATACATCCAATTCAATCTATTTGGATCAACACAGTATGATCTTTAGATGCGATGGATGCCTGATCGATGCCATCTCCTCCATAACGGGAAGGCGGTGGCACAAAAACAAATCGGCGTGCAGCTGCGGAGCGCCGAAAAAAAGTGCGGCGATCTCAACCATGCTGCCCTACGGCTCAAATCCTTCATAACTCTGGTCCCGAAGGGCGATTTATTCTCGATGAAATGACCGAGTCCACCGTCAGGCTTCATATCACCCCCCTAACTCCTGATATACTCCCGGCCGTCCTGCCACCCTCCCTCCGCCAGACCGCTACAGACATTTCCTTCCACACGATTCCCACATTTCCCGAAAACAGTTACGGCTATATTACACTGCCTGCCATGGACGCCGAGAAGATCAAGAAGAAGCTCAATGGCTCTATTCTCAAGGGCAAGAAGTTCAAGGTTGAGGCTGCCCGTCCTTCCAAAAGAGATCGGGACGCCGAGGATGTCGATGCCGGAGCTCGCTCGGACGAAGAGAAAAAGGAGAAGAAAAAGTCCAAGAAGCGAAAGTCGGAGGATCAAGAAGACGGTGTTCTAGAAGGCTACGAGCTCCCTTCGGATCGTAAAGTCAAGCGAGGATGGACAGAGCCTTCCAAGAAGGACCGACGAAGGGCCGAGAAGAGCAAGAGCAAGGGCGATAAAAAGGAAAAGCCCCAGGCCAAGTCGAAGTACACGGAGAAGGAAGAGTGTCTATTCCGAGCAACGATACCTCCCAATCGCAAGGCCCTTGACGCTACCGAGGAGAAGAAGGCCAAGAAAATCAAGAAAGGCTCTGAGAATGTCGTCCACGAGTTTGCCAAAGCAACCACCTATCCCAGCTTCCTCCGCGAATCGGGCGAGAGTGCTGTCCCGACGTCGGAGTTCGAAGAGGGGAAAGGCTGGGTAGATGCTTCGGGCAAGGTGAAGGAGGCTGCGAGTGAGAAGGCTCGCAAACATGACTACCACCCGGGACAAAAGGCGGGTGCCAAAGTCAAGAAATCCGAGGTCCAAAACTTGGTGAAGAAGAAAAAGACTCCAGAACCCGAGAGTGAATCTGAAGATTGGACTTCTTCCAGTGGGTCTTCCTCTGATGAGAGTTCCGACTCTGAGAGCGAAGCGGATGGTCCATCCAATGATTTATCAGATTCCTCCGACGACGAAGCGGAGGAAAAGACAGGCTCCACGACAGAGACCGCAAAGTCTGCGCCTGCCCCTGCGCCCGAAAAAGCTTCTGAAGCTTCAAGCCCAGACTCAGACTCGGACTCAGATTCCGAAATGGCCGATGAACCTGCTCAGCAAGTGGAAGCACCCTCTACCCAGGAGGTTCATCCTCTGGAAGCACTCTATAAGAGACCAGCTCCTGCGTCGACCGAGGGAGTCGCGGCACCTGCTCCCACGACCGGGTTCAGTTTCTTTGGCGGCGACGATATCGAATCCGAGGATGAGCCGCAATCTGCAGAACCTCAGACGCCCTTCACACCATTTACCAAAAAGGATCTTCAGATCCGAGGCTTGCGTAGCGCAGCACCTACACCCGACACTGCTATGGTGAATCGCCGGATGAACTGGACCGAGGATGATGAGGAGGAGGACGACGACGAGGAAGAAGTATCTATTGATACCCCCGTTTCGAAATCCCGGGAGCAGGAAGTGCCTAAGGGAGAGACTGAGTTTGCGAAATGGTTCTGGGAGAACCGCGGCGAGAACAATCGTGCCTGGAAGAAGAGGCGACGCGATGCGGCCAAGGAGCAGAGGCAGAGAGATAACCGGAAGAAGGGTATGAAGGGCAAGTCTTAAATATGACCGCAAGTGGAGATGGGATACAAATAGACAGGTAGTATGTATGGTAGCTCTAATGCTATGTAATATATATTGAAACATACCTTGATGATTCCAACACCCTCAAGCTACACATTAATTCCCTCGAGCTGCTCCATAGTCCCGTCCAGCCTATGATAACTGTCCGATCACGTGGGACCCCGATAAGTGGCCGCGATAACCTCATCGTAGGAGGTACTGGCTTTCCGAAAGGACAACCAAATACGATGTTCTCAGGGCGATTTCAACGGAGCAGCAGGACACAGGCACTCCTGCTGCTCTTCGCCTTTGTATCGTTTTTCTCATTTACAACCGCGTCCAGTAAGTGCCCACCACACCAAGCCCCAAAACCACCTCGAGCACCAAGCTCCGCTCGTGTCTCCAAACGCCAAAAGCTCATAACACCAAACTAACATCTCTACCTTCCAGCACCAACATCCTTCTGCAAATGCACCTGCTTCTCAAATAGCACAATAATCCCCCTCGACCCCGGCAAATCCAGCTCCGGCAACTCCGGTCTTAACAACGTCTACAACCTATACGAACGCGCGTTCAACACCGGACCGGACTCGGAGCTCGAGCTCGAGACTCAGCAACAACAACAGAAACAGCACCAATCCGAAGTTAACACCGACTCCGAAGGACATGGTACCCTCACCGAGCGGGCGCAGAAATACCGCGCGCTGAGCTGTAATGATTGCAATCGCAAGTTTTGTCTGGATTACGAGTTGCCGATTTGCAAGGATGCGAAGGAGGAGGATGTTTTCACGACGTGTTTTCGTGAGTTCTGTCCCTGCGCTGTGGATTATATTCATCTTGCGAGATTCGTTCCTGCTACTCTATCATCAGAGGTGGTATGGGTGGCAGACTTGAAGACTCCCGTTGAAGACAGGTGCAACCCCACGTGATAGCATTGCTGACAAGATACCTTGACGTATCTATAGAACGAGACTCCCGAAAGGACGAGGCAGTGGTATTCATCTTTATCTTTGCGACTGGCGGATTACTCGCGTGGGCTCTGCTCAAACCCTGGATTGAGCGGTATATCGAGGTAAGACCAAATAAACTACAGCCAGGCAAAAAGGAACGGAAAGAAGAAAGTTGGTGCTATTGGCACAATTCGTATCAATTGCTTCTTTTCTGAATTGCCCGTGAAATAGCTGCTAATGTGATCATTTCTCTGATGTTAGGCTGCGCGGCAACGCCGATCATATATGCCCGTTGGGGAGCCCGAAAGCTAGGTATTCAGACGGTTTAAGCTTCGCCCAAAAATGAAACAATAATTTGCTTCTTGTCCGAGGTCGTGACCCCGTAGAATGTGTATGGAAAGTAACGTAGCATTTCTTCGGTAGCGACAGTAGGTACGATTCATCAATCAGTAGTTCAGCGAATGTACCTTGTTTAAGATTTGAATAATTCCTTTTTTCTAAGATACCGAGAATGCCCATCTTATGCACAGACAATTTATTTCAATTACAGCTAGTAGCTCGTGGAAGCTGTAGCTATCCGCAATCTTGCGAGTAGCTTGTTTTCGGTGGTCGCTCGTGTTGAAAAACCGATAAGATAAAGTTCTCTAGGGTCGAATCCTAGAGCTTTCGATTGACAGATCACCTCAATTGCTTTGCGCAGAACTTGCAGTAAAAAGAAACCGAAAAAAAAATCCGTGTTCTATTGGCAGTCTACTAGAGGCTACAGCACACAGAAGCAAGTCGGTTGCCTCTTGTCACTCGACCAAGGCAGCGGCTACAGCGCGATTGAGGTTATCTGCAAGCCGAGCTGACCATCGATGTTCGTGGCGCAGAGCTAGCCAGGTAGCAGTTCGTGAAAGGAGGTGGGTAGAGTATAAAAACAAACAATGGATAAGCTAGTCCAAAACAAACAAGTATGATAGCTCCATTTGAGCTATGCACTCGTATCTCAAGATCCGTCACAGCTAGCACAGGTCAAAATGACGTCCTCGAAAAAAGCCAAATTCCACAAGCTCGGCCGACCCGATGACGGCCAAGTCCGTGCTAGGCGAAAGGACCGGTGCCAATGATATCACCGCTATGGCCATACCCGTAGCATGCCTGGAGAACAAGAAGCGGCACTACCTGGAATCAGGGGGTTCTACAGCTATGTTCCGTACAACCTGTGAATAACAATGCATTGACCAGTGAGGGCGATCAAGCATCAAGTCTTTGGACGATTAGCCAACTTATCTCTCCCTGCTAGCTGGGTTATCAACCAAGGAAATGCCGGGGATCCAGTTATCACGCCAGTCCCGATCTATTGACCCTAGCGCCGCCCGTTTTGTGACGGGTCCAACAAAGCCCAATGGCCCCCACCGCATTGGGGGCAGATGAAACAATCGAACAATCAGAATGATCGGGCGTAAAGCGAGGGTCTCCACATCGTGTATCAAGTTCCTCGAGGGCCCCATCTCCAATTTCGAAGGGTACGGGCCAATGGTTGTGCTGGATTGAGATCGTGATGAAGGAGCGGCTACTGTAGCTCGTACTAGGCTATGTACTACTTCCGTAGTGCGTAGTGAGTACTGTGCAGATTCCACGGTTGGATTCCACGGTCGGATCGACCGAAAAGGTCATCGGGTATCCATGATGATTCTATCGAGTATGAAAACAGGTGACGATCGCTGCCATGTGCGGGCATGCTATGTGCAACGTGCTCTGTGCGGTGTGCTGTCACCATTTCGCCTTCTTGTTGTCCAATGCTATTTTCAGGGGCCAGTGAATGCAAAGATGATGTGGATGGGGTCCTGGTTGGTTCCTGATTTTCGATTGGGGGGGCCTGTGAGTTTGGGATCCGGTGGGTTCCTTTTTTTTGGGATTTTCCCAGGGACTTGTTCTCGTTAGGGAAACTTGCGAAAGTTGGAAACGGAAAACTTGCTGGACCCCCCAAATTAAGATTACACCGGCCTTCATCTCGCTTTTTTTTCTTGTCCTGCTGAATCTAACTAATTTCCCTCTCTTTGATTCTTTTCTAATCCTTTTCCATCCATCATCTCTCTTTTCCTTTCATCCAACTCAACAGCCAGAGATAACCCTGTGCCCTGTGCTGGACCCCAGTCATCGCGCGCCCAATCAACAGTGGCGCAGATTCGATCGGTGATAGCCACTATACCCACCACGTTGCGCCCAGATCTATACATACTTTTGTCCAGCTACGCCATCTCCCGCTTAAAATGGCGATTTTTGACTCGGAAAAACGCCCTCGAGGCCTGCGCGTCCCATCTCTGACGGCGATGAAAAATGGCACCTCCGCCACAGTATCCCAGTTCTCCTTCCACAGCAAGAAATCCAACGATTCGCGACCAGATCCTTCGTCGACACCCAGTCTGACCACGATAGTCCCCGTGTCGACACCTGCACCACCCAAGACCAAGGCTATCCCGCCTCCGAATAAGGATCTCCCCCCGACACCCAAAGAGGAATCGCCGCAACCGGTCTCTACTCAGGTGCCGCCGAGGTCTTCGTCAATGGTGCCGCCGCGTCGAGAAGTGCTGCGCAAACCACCGCCGAGTGGGGTATCGCCCGTTATTTCTTCGCCCGTTGCTGCTTCGCCGGCTGGTACCGCGCCAAAGACGGGGTTGCGACAAGCTTCGCCGCAGTCCTCCGTAGCTGCGGCGCCAGTCGCCGTTCCGCCGCAAGCCCCGCCGCAGTCGCAGGCGGAATTGCAGCAGCAATCGCAAGCGGCGCAATCGCAGCCCACGTATATACAACCACATCAACAATCACCCATCACTCAATCCCTCCCCGTCTACCACTCCTTACAAACCGGCGCACCACCCCCAGTGACAAACGAAGCATCCCGAGGCCCAGCTCCTACGGCAGCACAAGCCCAAGTACCAACAAACCTCAACCCCTCCCAACAAACCACCACCGACGCCCTCACCCCTCTAGAAGACTTCATCCCCACCCCCGAGGGCGCTAGCACCCCTCTGGACCAAACCTCCAGCGACGGACAAACATCCTACACACCCTCCGACGACGTCGATGCCATCGCTGCACCGCTAAGCAAAATCCACTATGCCTGTTTCCAGGAACATCGCAATATGCCGATTGCGCAGAATACCTGGTGTCCCGTGCCGTGTATGACGTGTCAGAAGATGGATCGGGAGATTCGGCATCGGTGTGTGTTTTGCTGTTTACGGGTTTGTGAGGGGTGTTATGTTGCGTTGCAGGGGTGTGGGAGGAGGTCTTTGGCGGAGTTCATGGGGCAGTTGAATGGTAACTGATTGGGGAGTGATCTCTTTTGATCTTTCTTTCTTTCTTTCTTTCTTTTCTTTTTTCTACTCTTGCTTTGAGATATATTTCCCGTTCCCCTTTCGATCTTTCTTATTATGTTCTTTTCTTATGTTCTTTTCTTATGTTCATGGTTTCTGCATGTGTGGCGCAGTGCGCCTGAGACTGGGGGGATTGAGGGTTCGAGGCTGCGGTCAGGGCTCTGGGTTCCTGGTCGATAAGATCAAGACCTAGTTACACTTGAACCAGCCGGCTCTGTGGGTGACTGTCTTTATTTGTTTTTCTTTTCTATGATACCAGGGGGATTACGTGTATAGTATGAGTTGCATCAAAATATCGATGTATGGATAATGTTTCTTCGAGGTTGCAAATTTGCAGAGCGCAACCATCAAATACGCTCAATTCGATCAAGCAGTGCGCATGAAACATGTTGCGGCGCATGAAATTCAAATCATAAGCTTATCTTTTGTCTATTCGTAATGTTGGTGTTCGTACAGTTTAGAAGAGGTTATAGCAGCTGCAGCTTCAATCATGATCCTCCTCCGTCAACCCCGGACAACCCTCCAACTCATCATCCGTTTCATAGCGATACTTGCACCAGAAACAATATCGGTACGTCTCCCGCAGATACATCACCAATCGCTGCAGTCGCTCCGCCGGTTCAAGGGCATTAAAAGCATCCAACTCGGGATCCTCCTCTTCCACCTCCTGCTCCACAATCGCGGTATACGGTTCCCTCGTGCCGAGTGCCTGCTGATCATCACCATCCAGAGTAACGTCCGTGTAGCCCGGTAACTTAGCCCGAGGAAAGAAGGAGGACGGCAGGGACGTTTGAAGGGCATGCCGGGCTTGAATAGACCGTTCGCGTTCTTCGCGCTCGCGGACTAGACCGCGGTAGAGGACGTTGAGCTGGGCAGTCGGTTTGTAGTGCTTCTTTCTCGTCGCACCGGCCTTGCGAGATTCGTCCTGCGAATTAGTCCGGCCGGGTATGTCATTGTCATCGCTGTTAGAATCGTCACCAGCATTAGACCGTGTTTGTGACTCTGACATATCGTTCTCTCGAGACTGAGGCTCGCTCTGTTCCCCAGCTTCAGCTGGAGAGGAAGACTCAGCCTCATTCTCCGCCTCGGCATCCAACCTCTCCGCAACTTTCTGCGCAGCACGAACGTGCGCCTCGGCGCGTCGAGACTCCCGTTCCTCGCGCACCCGATCCCGATAATCACCCTCGTCCTGCTTTATCTTTTTAGTGGCTTCTGCCGCCTCCTCCCGGATTTTCCGCTTCTTCTCACTATCTAGGCCAATTCCGCCCCGGCCCTCTTTGAAGATGAGGTTTAATGGCTCTGCGCGGGCGCTGACCGGGCGATGCGTCGACGACGGGTCGGACTCTGTCCTCGTCGTCGTCGATGCGGTCGCGGGGCCGGGGGGATCGCGTTTACCGAGCGATTCACCAGGTTTGAAGCCTAGCTTGGCCATCATCTGGAAACCCTTGTTTGAGGGGTCTAGGGTACTTTTGGCGAGAGCCTCATCGCGGCGGGCGGCTTCCTGGGCGGCGCGTTCGGCTTTGGAGGGGACTCGACCGCGGGCTTCAGCCTATGAGGAAAGAAAAAGAAAGGGAGAATGTCAGTTACCGGTGAAGGGTGAGGTGGTCTAGCCCTTGCAGCGGGGTCTGGAGCTCCGATCGAGCTGGTAAGCAAAGGGAGGTGAAGGGGGCCAGACGCTTACCTCTCGTTGTTCACGTCGTTTGCGTTGGGTGAAGGTCTCTTTTTGAGTGGGCTCTTCAATGACCATGGACATATAGTCCTCCTCCTCATCGGACATGGCGGCGATGCAAGAATGAAGAATGGTTTCGGTCGGCCGAGTTAAGCTGATCTTATTTTTTTTTTTTTTGCGGGGAAAGCCCAGGCCCCGAAAAGTGGAGCCGCGCCGCAACCAGCCACCGAACCCAGTTGTGGCACTATCGTAAACACTATTGAGACCAAAACACACATCGCTTTGTGATGGGAATTTAGCCGATTCTTTGAATCACCACGCAAGGGAGGGCCGACTTTGGTCTGGTCCTTCCTTGGGCTCTTCGTGGCTCAAGGTTTCTCTGTCGAGATCTCTTTTGAGTTACTTATTTGAGGCTTCTCTTTCCAACAAACTGACCATTTCATGATCAGCCGATGCAGGCGACCCAGTCTAAACTCATTCAGTAACGGATCGCTCTGTTTTCGGACTCTGGCATCACAAGGCTTCACAGGTACAAGCTGACTGAAGTAACAGTAACCCTGACCTGCATCTCGGCTCTTCTTTTGAGCCCCGGGACCCCGAACTCACTCTTTCATAAAGACTGCGATGTGATGGGTTTCCAAACTCTTCTTTCGATCTCAACATGGTCGGATATGGCGAACTTTTACATCTTCTTCCTGCTTTCCTTGGCAGCCGCCGAGAATCCGGTTGTTAATTTGGGATATACAAGCTATGAGGGCCGCTCACTGTCCGGTGGTGTCTCGCAGTGGCTTGGGATGCGCTATGCTGCTCCTCCAGTGAATGACTTGCGCTTTGCAGCTCCCCAGGACCCCCTCTCGCAGACCGGGGTTCAACAGGCAACCCAAGTATGATCTTCTTCCATTAAAATCATATTCTGAACCCATACGGTACCGCATCACTAACTCTCTACCTAGCACGGGCCTGCCTGTATTCCTGTCGCCAACAGTCTAAATGCCGCTGTGCCATCCGGTACTTCGGAGGACTGCCTCTTTTTGGATATCTACGCCCCCACAGACGCATTCACGTCAAAGAAACTGCCAGTGTACTTCTTTATCCAAGGTGGAGGCTTTGCTTCTCTGTCAAATATGAATTATAATGGCACAGGCTTGGTTGCGGCCTCGGACTTTAATATCATCGTGGTCACGTTCAATTATCGTGTGGGGCCCTACGGCTTTCTCGCCGGTGATGAAGTGGAGAGAGGGGCTAGTCTGAATAACGGTCTTAAGGATCAGATCAAGGCCCTCAGGTGGGTGCAAAAATATATCAGCATGGTAAATACCGATTATAATACCGATTATCTCACGTCTTGCCTTTCGAGTGAACAGAGCTGACATGCATCTATAGTTCGGGGGCGACCCTGACCACGTCGTCATAGGCGGCGACAGCGCAGGCGGTGCATCCGTAACCCTCATGCTCTCTGCATATGGCGGACGCGATGATAAACTGTTCATCGGGGCTGCTGCCGAGTCTCAAAGCTTCGGGAACATGCTCAACGTCTCCGAAAGTCAATTCGCATACGACAGACTATCCACACGTACAGGCTGCAACACGAGCACAGACTCCCTAACATGTCTGCGCAATCTAGACATTAGTGCCCTGCAGGCACAAAACATTCGCACCCCTTACCCCGGAGCACCGGGAAACCCTATATACTTATACGGCCCAACCGTCGACGAAGACCTCGTGCAAGACCACACATTAAAACTCTTCCACGACGGCAAATTCATCAAAGTCCCTGTGATATTCGGTGACGACACGGACGAAGGCACAATCTTCGTTCCTAAAAATACGGCCAGCGTCACCGATGCAGACACCTTCCTCCAAAACCAGTTCCCGACCATCACCCAGGCCCAACTATCCAAGATCAATAGCATGTATCTGACCGAGGACCAAACACGCGAATTCCCAAATGCACAGCCATACTGGCGTCCTGCTAGCAACGCCTATGGCGAGCTCCGCTATACTTGTCCTGGAATTGACATGTCCTCCGTCTACGCCGCAGCCAACGTAGCAAGCTGGAACTACCACTACGCCGTGTTAGATCCTTGGTCAGAAGGCAACGGCACGGGAGTGTCACACACGGTCGAGGTAAACTCGATCTGGGGACCACAATATGTGAGCGGAGTCCCGCCGGACTCGTACTGGAACACCAATGCCAATATTGTACCTGTGATGCAGGGGTACTGGACGAGCTTTGTCAGATCGTTGGATCCAAACACACATCGGTACCCGGGGAGTCCGGAGTGGAAGACTTGGGGAAAGGGAGATGCTGCCTATCAAAGAATATTCATTCGGACAAATGAGACTCGTATGGAGAGTGTACCGCAGGAGCAGCGGGATCGATGTGAATATTTGATTGGGATTGGTGAGAGTTTGAGGCAGTAGTTTATGATGGATCTGATTGGACTTTAGTGAATGATTCATGTTGATATCGAAATTCCCTTGGTATCCTGATTTATAGTACATAGGAGGGCAGTTCTTTCCGTGTCTGGATATCCCATTTGTCTTGTCTCGTTACTTGCTCACTCCAAGGAAATGGACTCTTTATTTCTACCATATCAAAAAGTATATTCGGGAGGCGGCCCTGAATCCGTCGGGGCTACGGATATTGGCAGGCCCTTGGTTTTCGCGTTCGCATGAACCTGCAACAACATTTTGATCTCCGGATCCCCCGTCATACTAGCAGGAGGAACCCCATTCTGAATCTTCGCATCAAGGATAGGGTCAAAATTAAGAATAAGCTGAAATCATAATATCGCAAATATTATGATACCCCTTCCGAGCCCCTGAAGGCAGCGGCCGGACAAAGGTCGGAGCACCACGATCCAGAAGGGTTTGCACAATCTCCGCGTGACCACACACCGCAGCGATAAGTTGTTTGTGCGAAAGAGGACATTGCAAGAGGTCTTCCTTAACATGCCGGCCTAAAGATGGAAGCTTTGGAAAGTTATACACATATTACAGTATATGAACATGGGCCACAGAAAGACGTGCATAGTTATACAACGATCATAATGACTTCTAATCCATCTTTGAAAGCTATTTCATGTCCCTAGCAGCAATCCACAGCAACATCGAGCGCCACCGCAACCTATTTGCATTTGGGGAGTTTTTCTACCATCGTCAGTCATGTTCAAATACCAGCAAGAGGTGACATACTGCTCGAGCAATTACTATCCGTAAAATAGCCATTGACGTAGCACGTCGTCCCCAGATATGTAATTTGATCCCAGGAGCTACTCCCATTAGCATCCAGCTCTTCATAACACAGTAAAAAAAACTTACCAAACCCCATTAAAGCAATCGCCATGCTTCCAGCACGCAAAGGTGAGTTTATCTCCCTTGGGAAACCCAAAGATTGCGCCTGCGTCTAACTTCGCATCGTATCGGCAGTTTACAAAATGGTCGACATTGATAATTTTGCAAGTCTGCGCCGAGGCGCGCTTTTCGAGGTCCAGCTCTCCATCTGCTTCGGCTTCGGGATCCGCAATGGGGGCTGCAGCGGCCAGAAGGGGGAGGAAGGTAACTGCGAGACTGAGGAACTTCATTTTGCTTCGTTGTTAAATAACACTTACTTTATTATGAGATATTCGTGCAGAACAATGGTCTTCTTATACATTGGAATTTTCGTATCCTCGTATTGCCCAGCCCGCTTCCTCGTGTTCCCGCCCCAATGCTGCTATTCATAGGCAAATAGCGGGATCTATCCGAGGTTGCATCCTCGTATCCAGCCATTTTTAGTATCTTTGGAATCCGGGGTTTAACATCAATAACAGAGAGTTATCTAATGGCAGCTGCTGAATACTTATTCGCTGGTTCCTTAATATGCCTTTGTTTAGTCAAGTCTATCCTCTCGCCCATCCCGGGAAGGTTTTTAGCGCAGTTTACAATTGGTTAAAATCTGCACTATGCGACTCGATAAGACACATACTACATACTAAAAATCCCCACGGTCGTCGGTTTGCAATTTTACCATGGCTTGAGATTTTTCTCACATTACCTGATGCGCTATCGCAGCGGTTGACGGACTAAGAAATGTCACGAGCCCGACTCATTGCAGGATATACTCCAGCTACATCTTTCATCGCCAAAATTCGAACTAGAAAACGCCAGCCACCCTGTGATGGGCATAGGACTGTCATCATCAGATGGATGTGTTCAGAACAGCTAGCTGATTGATTTCCATTCACTCCAACGCTGTAAGTCTGCCATTCTACACTATGAAATGCTTGGGCCGTTCTGATATCACCCAATCCAATGCTGTTTATGGCAGCCCGCTGAGCAGCGAGGAGTACCACGTTCTCTGTCTCGCATAGAGAAGAGCCCCTGGTGGCGTACTTCATTGATGGGCCTAGAATCAACGCAATGGTGGAAAGAGCGGGCTGTCTTGAACACCAAGGTCAATTGAGAGCATCCTCTTCGACTATTATTGATGTATGTCTTGCAAGGCGTGGCTGTGACTGGCTATACCACGCTAGATTTGAGCTGAGCTCACAACCGTCCGATCTTTTCCTTCGTACTTTCCCACTGTTTCGTCACTAGAAGGTACTTATCAAGGGACTGGCTTCTGACAAAAGCTTTCGATTAGCAACGCCTGCTGAACCTACTCAGTCGGGTACAACATCTGACTGTGGTTTAGTTTGCGTTGTACCTGGAGATACCGTAAGTGGAAAGACTACGCAAGGCAGCACATATATCAACACTAACCCATATTAATCATTGCATTGCGCTTGTCAGAACTTGGCGCCTCCATCTTCTACGTCGATACTAACTCTAGACTGTAGCGGTACCACCATCTCTGGCCTCCGATCCCTAATCACCTTTGTGAGTGTTGAACACCATTATTTGCACATGGCAGATGCTAATATCACTATGACTATGAAATAATTGCACTAATCTTTGGTTAGGTAACTCAATCTGTGTTGCACCACGAGCTGTGTCGCTAAAGGTCTAGTGGTGAGCCATGATTCTTTCTCCCCCTGGGTCCAGCCAGCCCCGCGCCGCACCCTAGTTGTATCTTAGCATAAACTCGGCATGGTGTCAACTCTCCTGCTTGGGGAATTGAGGTGTTCTGAGAAATAGATATATGAGCATCGATTAGACCAAGCAAGCTCCCGGGGACCACCACGTTCAGTAGTCTAGGCTCCACAAATATAGCATTAGAGCCATAACCACACCTTGGACCGTAATATACCGGTTGAAATATAATGTCCTTACAGAGGTCACACCCGGATTCGCTTAGAGATTAATTTCCCCAAAATCGGACCCTCCAAAAAGTTAATTAGTGGGGCTGCTCTTTGGAGTGACTCTTTTACCAACCAAACCCACTCACAGTGTTCTCCCGGCTGCGTCTCTCAATCATCATATTCATAGATGAGCTGAGCGGCTCACTCAACCAAAATCAAGATGTCAGATCCTGACCTTAATTTTCGTTTTGATCCTCAACTATCAGCAGAACTCCACAATAGCATACTCAAGCATGCTTGGCTCGGCGCAGGGCGCGACATCGCTTCGCTGCCGTGTACAAGTTGGTGGGAGGAATCTTCTCCAATCCCATTCGAAGTGGCTTCCTCCCTGAAGCCCAGCCTGATTCAATTCCTCCGATCGGCGAAATTTAACATCCCTATATCAAATTCGGAGTTCCGTTTCTTCTATTACTTGCATGGTCTCACAGAAAAGGATTTTCTCCTGAGGTTCTCCACTCTCGACTCGTGCGGTGACAGATATGTGTGGCTGTATAGTTCCACATGCTCTCAGAGCGATGAAGAGGTCGGTATCGTGTTAGTTGAGCTACCTAAATTATAAAATTATGGGTCCGATTGCGTATTAACATCTTTCTGCGTTTTAGGTTCGATCAAGAGACCGAGCTTGCAGCCTTCCTCACAGATTGGCAATATGTTAATTTTGATCTTCCTGAGAGCTGGCCCTGGAAACCACTGCAGATGATTCTCCAGGCTTATCTAGAGATGATCGAGCAGGATAAAGTGACCAAGTATTCGGATCCGAACATCGATCCAATCCCTATATCAACCATCACGATACTTTCCGTGGGAGATTCATCAACATACGCAGCGGGATGTCGATAAGGCTGTCGACGCATTCATTCGTCTTCTTGATGCTATAGAAACTCGACGCCCGCCGAAGCCGAAGCTGAATACTAAAATATCTGGGGATTCGGATATAAATGGACTCAAGTTTCCATATTCAAGCACGACGATCGACCACTTGTTCCCGCGAGGGAATCCGAATCCCTTCGCCCGAGACTTCCTGTTGGCTCTTCCAACTCGTCACATTAGTTTCCGCTACATCGCCCTGGGAATTCGAATTCAAACACTGGCAGAAATAGTAGCCCAGCCTTTTGCCAGCCTTCATGATAATTTCGAGAGATTGACGAAGGACCAAGAGAATCCGAGGTTTTCTCCATTCCTTCTCTTCCGAGGGGATGCGAAGAACAGATCTCCCTGGGTACGCCCATGGTTCCCGGATGGAAGTGCGGAAGATATTCCCGTTGGCTTATACCTCGATGCCGTTAGGAAGTCTATGTCAACGGATTCGGGAAATGAAAGTCGATTATTGTTACCGTTTGAAGTCGGAAATCGTGGATATGCACGAAGCGGCAACGGAGTCCCGTTGAGCAGATACGGTGATACGTATGATAAACTCTATCGAGGATATCATTCCAGTGGCATTTTGCCAAGGGACTCGCATAGTTCCGCAATTCACACAGTGTTAAGTAATCGGGCTGAACGTGTCGCAATGGGAGACTGGGAGGTGGACGAAGATGGGGTTATGGATGGAATTGAGAAGTTCAAAGATGCTGATACCCCAGAAGGTTGGCAAAAGTATCAGACCTCGTGGTGGGACTGAGTACCAGGAAGCGTATATGAAATGGTGATATGCATAATTGATGTACCTGATATACGATGGACGCATTGAAGAGGCTGACGGGAGACCGGTACTATTATTTCCCCTCATGGGACACACCCAAATGGTCCAACCACTGAGATGGTATGTCCAACTAGGCCATATGAGGGGGGAGAGTACGTGGAAGAATTGGAAGTGGGTGATAAATTCCCGTTTTGTTATCGACTTACTACTTTGGTGCTGATCAATCCCATTTCAGTAAGCAGTAACCCCTCACCATCGTTGCCTACGTCTTCCACAGGACATCCACGTCGAAAGGAACGATTTACACTAGACTACAATCATTAACCTCAACCGACCTCCATTATGCAAGATACAGTGGTAGAGCTCGCAGACGCTGCAGACCTGCCATCCATCGGCACCCTCCACGCCCGAGCCTACCATCCAACGCGAGAATGGCACCGCAGAATATTCCCCGCATCCATCGCGCCCTGGTGGGGAAATAAATATGCCTTGGACATCGCAGATCCCAATTGCTACGTTCTCAAGATCTCATCCATCGAGGCTCCAACTACGGTTCTGGGACTCCTCGCCCTACGCAAATACGAGGCCAATCAAAAAGGCGCTGGACGATGGACTTCTTGTCGTCCCCCACCCGAAGTGGACGGGCAAGCGTACGACGCCATGATCGATTCTATGGTTGAGTGTCGTGAGAAATTCATGTTTGGGCGTGTTCACCTCTGTATTGATCATTTTGGGGTTGATCATGCGTATCAGGGACGCGGGATGGGGAAGATGCTTATGGGGAAGGCGTGTGAGATTGCGGATCGGGAGGGACTTGATGTTTTTGTGCAGGCCAATGAGTTTGCCGAATCTTTTTATCGGAATTTTGGGTTTGAAACCGAGGAGAAGGTGGAGATTCCTCCCGATGGTGTTACGCAGTGCTTTCTTATACGGCGATCTAGGTAACGACTGGGAGTGATCTATGTGAATACCGGTTCACGAAATGAGAAGAAAGGATCAACACGATTTGGATAGACATCGACTTTTAATTCCCAACCATGCACCAGCCCTGGAAAAGAAAAGGGCGAAATATAGATATGTACAAATCCAACAAAAAGGTGCGCAAGAAACACATGACCATAAAGAGTAGACACGGCAAGAAAGTCAACACGATTACCGCTTGCCTTGACGTCCCCTCTTCTCTCGTTCGTACTCGTTGGCCGCACGACCCTCTTCGCTCTGAATCTCCGCAATAAGCTTCTTGTACTTCTTCTCGTACTCGGCATCGCGCTCCTTCTTCTCGCGCAACTTCTCGCGAGCGACGAAGCTGGCATCCTTCCGCAGCTCGCGCATGGCACCCTTCTTCTCGCGCTTGTACTCGGCCTTGAGGCGGTTGGCCTCGGCACGCTCCCGATCGGGATCGTAGTGCTTGTCTGGGTTGAAGTTCTCCTCGAACTTGGGAATGGCAGACTTGATAGCCAGAGGACGGTGGTTGTGGAGCAGGAGAGGGCGGCGCGCAAGCTGAGCTCGGGCAAGATGAGCATCGATCTTATCCAGGGTTGACTGCAGAGGGTCTCGTGCAGCTGCAAAAACCTTGTTCTTGAAGGATTGGCGGAGGTGGTTGAGGACAGTGCGGACGGGGTTGAAGATCTCAATAAAGGCAGACTTTTCGGCCCACAAGTCCGAAGCAGTGTCAAGGAGGGAGACAAAAGTGGTGACAAGCGAGATCTTGAGATCTTCTTCGGCCTGGGAGTCGGAAGGTGTCGCCTGGATATCACGGAAATGCAGTTTGCGCGGGGTCACCTTCTTGGATGGCGCAAGCTGGACTGATTGCTGGGACTTTCGGAAGGGGAAAGATAACTTCTTAGCGGTCAGCTCCGTGGGAGCCAGATTGCAAAGAGCATTCAGAATGTAGTTGATGAACTCGGGCATGTAACGCTTGGCAATAGTCTGATACTGAAGACACAAGCTCGTGGCAAAAGCGCCTGTCACAAAGTCGGAAGTGGTGTTGAGCGAGCACTGGCCCAAGAACCGAGCAATGCAGAGATGTGCGGGAGTGGCAACAGCGTGGAAGTGGTCAGATGTTGGGAAGACCGTAGAAATTCCTGTAAGAACCACCAGATCACCAGGAAGAAGGTTGAGAGGGCGATCCTCCGAGATCTCGCGGAGACGAGCACGGAAAGCCATAGCCACATTAATAGGGTGAGTCTTGGCCAGAGAGTGAACGTGACGCAGGATGTTCTCGATGATGGCGAAAGAAGGCTCCTCGGTCTCATTGCCCATGTAGGAGACGTGCTCGACAAGGATCTCGGCGAATCTGCCCAGCTTAGCCTTGTTGTTGGCGTGAAGGCGGGGGTGGTGCAAGGCACGAATACGCTGAATAACAGTGGGTAGATCCTCGGTTGGCACGTCCTTGGTGATCTCAAGGAACTCTTCGTGGTTGCCCGGGCAAGGGTAGGTAAATGCCAGTTTACCATCGGCAGTCTGGTTGACTTGCACTGCTGTCGTTGCAGCAGCACTACTTGCTGTGGGTAACGTCATTCCGTTGATAAGCTCGTCTTCTTCCTCCGATTCCTCTGCTTCATCCTCGGATGAGATCTGCTCCTCTTCAATATCACTTTGATCCAAGGAGAGACTAGCATTCGATCGTGTCTCGACGAGGTCATCGTCAATGACAAAATCATCTTCGTCCTCCACAGCGAGCTCGGGCCGAGGCTCGTATGAAGTCGTGTGAAGACCAAAAGCAGCCGCGTCGTCAACTTCAGACTCCTCCTCGTCTTCATCCCCTTGGAAGAAAGAGTCTTTGTCGCTTTCTGCGTCCTCCTCATCGCTGACCTGCTCACCGCGCATTCTACGCAATCGGTCTTCCTCCAACTTCTTCAACCGCTTGGCTTCTTCTTCTACCTTCTCCTCCTCTGTCTTGGTGCGGTCGGTAGGTTTAGACCGTTGATCGAAGGTCAATTGTTTGAGGCGTTGGTCGTATTCCTTCTCGGTATTCTTGCCTTCCGGTTCAAGAAGCATGGCTGCGCGTTGCGGGTTCATGGTGTCCAGATCTTGCTTGGGAGGCTCCGGTTTCGCCGGGGCCTTCATGCCACGCAAGGCCTCGAAGAGATCGGGGAGCTCTTGGTCCAATTCCTCTCGAAGATCGTCATCATCATCTTTGGCCTTCTGTCGCTCGGCCTTGTGGAACTTCGACTTGGCAATGACTTCCTTCATGACTTCGGCCTTGGACTTCTTGCGTTCCGGTTGATATTCGCCATCTTCTCCAAAGTCGATGAAATCCTCCGCATCTTCCTCATCCTCACCGAAGCGCTTCCGTTTCCGAGACGCCTCCTCATCAGACTCAGCCCCATCCAAGTCACCGTCCAAATCGCCGCCCAAATCACGGGCATCAAAATCGTCCACGGTCGTACCATCCAGCGTCAAAGACTGACCCATGTGTGTCAGTTGGAATTCTTCTTCATCTTCTTCGAGATTGAACATTGATTCCTTGCGCATTTTCTTCTGGCTTTCTCTCGCGAATCGTTCGGCGGCTCGTTCTTCGGGGGTCATGGTCGGATCGTTTTCACCGAATCGGCGATCGACGAGACCACCGACTTTGTTACGGCTGTTCATTTCCTGCAGAAGAGTTGCGCGGCGCTAGTAGAGAAAGTATATTAGAAAAGCCCATAGCATACTTTGTAGTAAAAAGCTCACCCTCTCTTCGCCCAATGATTTGGTAACACCGGGGCGGCGCCCAGTCGGCTTTTTAGAATTATCATCGCGAGTAGTTGCCTCAAATTTGCTCCTGGTCGCAGTTGGCCTGATCTCAAAGGGGTTGAACCGGTCTCGAATTGCTTGTAATGAGGCATTGCGCTGGTTGCGATTCTGCGCAGCTACACCAGACTTTGCATTTTGGCGCTTCTGCTTCTTGGACTGCTGAGGGCCAACGACCCCACTTTCCCGAAGTGAAGCTTTAAGTTGCTTCAGCTGAGAGGGCGGCATTGTTGTGGTGAAGAGCTGTGCACTGAGCGGAGTTTTTTTCGCTGATGCGAACCCCAATCTACCGATCAGAAAAAAATACCTTCACCGCCTTCGGCGATCCCGATTCTGCCAACACCTCTCCGCACCTCCAACATTCACGAAACCCACCCATCATGGCTCCTTTCTCAGGAGATCGAGTGCTATGGGTTTGCCTTGGTAAGAGAGCCTTGGCCTCATCTCTTAAAACATAACTTATTCGTCTCAGGTGTTTCGCTTGTCTTCGCAGTGCGTGGCATTATCTCAGATCTACGCAAAGTCGTTGATCTGACCGAGATCAACCATCCCGAGAAGGAGGACAAGATCATCAGCGAAGGAACTGAGGAGTGTATGTATTTATTTCCACGGCTTGAGATATCCCCCACTAATCTCCATTCAGTTCTAAAGCTCGAGACCCTTCTTAAGCTGTCCGAGAGCACCAGCTATGAACTCCGATCTGCGTACGAATACCTCTCCTTCGCCCTACATATCATCGTCACTAACGGTAGCAGAGCCTTGCGCATTATCTCACAGCGATCAACTAAAGGCGAGGCACGTACGTTGCTGCTGGATGACCTGGCATCCTTGAGCAAGAAACGACAAGGCAAAGCTTTGACGGCCCTCCACTTTCTTGTTACAAACCGAGCTCGTACGCAAACCTCCCCACCAACCGACAAAAGCTCCATGCTGACAGATAGCGTTTAGTATCCCGGACGACAGTATGCGCCTACCTCCGAGATGTCGAGACTTTCAACGCCCTGGTAGACTGTCTCTGCAACTTCCTCAGGGAACACACCGAAGAGACATCGACCACTAACTCGCCCATCCTGCCCAAGACCCGGCCCATTGGAGAACTGAAAGCACTACAAATACTGAATGTACTCCTGGCGAGCAATGTTCACAACGCGCTCGAAGCGGGACTAGTCAGTCGGTGGTTGAACAAGTATCCCTTTCCCTGTGCCGCGGAGGATAGTCCATCGCGACGGGAGGATGTTGTGCTTCTCATGAAAACTTGGTGGACTGATGATGTGGTCATGAGTTCCATTTTCGAGACATTGACCCAGGATCCAGAGGGTAGTAAACAACTTCGTACCCATGGCCTGATGGGCAGCATTATCGAAGAGCAGGACCATGATGATCATACCTACGACGACGATGATGGAGACTACACGGACAATGACGTGCGCATGGTAAATGGTGAAGACACCGCTGGCCCAGACTTCCGAGCTATCGCTAGAAGAATGCGCACCCAAGATCAGGCACAGCGACGGATGCGCAGAGAGGCCATGGCTCTCAGTGAAGGAGGTCGGCCCTGGGCAAGTGAGGACATCATCCAGCGCCCGATTCAGGACGACTAATCTGGCCTCCACCCCTCCAATTCTGCGCGTCGCAGTACCGATGGGCAAGCACTTCCACGGAGAACCTATAGTTCTTAGTGAGGAAGGCCTAACCTCGGGACATCACGACATCGTCCAGTTGCCCCGACTGGGCCACTGATCTGGCGTGAATTTCCCCTATTTTTCTTTTGATACTCGACTACATAAGCATGATACCCCCACCCTAAAACGGGAATACGAATGAACGGAATACCAAAGTTGCATGATATTGTATGAATTCTCGTGATTAACCTTAATTAAAGCCCCATCCACGCGGACTTGGCCAGATGGTCGGTCTTCTTCCGACTATTCTTAACCATGCCAAAGGCTTTTAGATCCGACAGTGCCCCATAGAACAAGGACATGATCATGCGATCATCGAACTTATTGCCCTGGTCATTCTCGAACACTGCGTAGAAAGCCTGCCACAGGTCATGAATGTTGACCAAAGCCCCAGATTCGAGATAGAGCTGATAAAGAATCGCAGTGGCAGGTTGTTTGGCAGAAATTCTGGCGCCGCTTGAATCTGTCGAGGAGATCAGGTAGTCGAACGGATTGGCCAGGGCACGTTCCAGCGCAAATCGTGGTCGAGGGGTGAATGTTTCTTTCATAGGGTTGCGCAGGTCGAACAGGAAGGCCTCATGCATGAACAGCTCCTGTGGCTGGATCAGGGTTTCTGTGAGATACTCTTGCAATGCACCGACCAGTCGATCGACGATTCTAGTGTACTCAATGTCTTGCTCGGACAGATTTGACTTGCCTTTGCTGAGCAGAATTCTTTGTTGGACGACAGTGGTTTTCACCACGGAGCTGTTGATGTTGTATTCGCTCCGCAGGGGTCCGGAATCTGTGTTCGCGTCGACCAAAGTGGCGAAATCTGTTCGGATTTCATCAAGAGCTAGCTCTGCAGGTAGGGTCTTGGGCAATGATTCGAGCAGAGGACCCAGCTTTCCAGAGTCGAATGTCCTCACTGTGGCCAGCATGTCATCGACCACCTGAGACTCATTCAACTCACCAGAAAGGGCGCGGACGGAAAGATCAGAAACATTGGTTTTCTTCGTACTTGGCGTATGCTGGAGACAGCCATGGATGGCAAGAACAGCATGGAATATTTGTCGCATGCTCTGCTGGCCAGCACTAATATGACTGAGCGCTTCTTGAAGCAGATATTCGTCGTTTTCCAGCAAATTCCGTACATCATCGGGGGAGCCGGCCTCTAATAGATCTTCACAAAACCTGTCACGGTGTTAGGATGAGACTCAAAATCGAGCAGAGGACGAGAGCTTACATGCGGAACGATGGCAAGTTCCTGATGGCCTCACAGAGCCGCGGTTGGGTAAGTGTAGCTGGCGCTGGATTTCCCAAAAGTACTGATAGAGGATTGGCAAAGAAATGTGACATGTAGGCATACTGAGCAGGGTCAGTGACTGAGTCGAGAGAACGATCTGGGGGTTATTACCTTCACCATGCGACTGAAGGCTTCCGGTGTTTGGAAATAATCATGCGTCTTCTCCAGGAGAGTACTGGTGACATTCCGGCCTAGCCACAGTTTTCCATACGGATCGGCCTGAAGCGACTCGTAGATGCGGTCGACACAATTTCCTGCTTCTTGGACTTCGAAATGCTTTCCTTGGAGTAAAGAGACACATGCACGAGGCAAGCGGCTTTCGAAAAGTTCTACGGAGGTCGAAATCCCGAGAAGCACTGTGAACGGAATGCGATCAAGCCAGGATCTAGCATTGCATTAGTATAGAGTTCAATCAGGTCCACAAGTACTGCTGTACATACTTGAAAAGCGATAGAAGATCCATCAATAGACCCGGATCAAACGCTTCACTATCTCGAAGTGCAAGAACCAGCTTTTTCGTGCCTTTTCTTTGGACGTAGTCGTTAAGCAAGTCCAGATCATATCCGAGCAGGCGAGGCCCCTTGGTAGAAGTCAGTCAATGTCCGCCAAAGAAGTCATGACGGAAACATACAGCGCGGTCCGTAAGAAACTTCTGGTATCCATCGTTTCCTTCTGTATTGGTGATCGCAGCCCGAATGATGTTCTTTAGGGATGTCTTCAAGTTTGGGGCGTCGCCGGACTCGAGTACCACGACGCCACCTTCGCCACTGGCTGATAGCTGATCATTGAGACGAGCAAGCAATCTAGTCAAGGAGGAGACATTCGATCCGACCGTCACCAGACCTGTAGGAATACATCCGTTGCAACTACAGCCCTCGTTAGATCACAGCCTTGTGGTGCTTCATGGGGGAGAGCGTACGTTTCAGGCGAATTAGCTCTCACGAAAGAGAGCACATCGGCCAACACTCCCGCGTCGACATCTTCAAGAATAGCCTATCCATTGTCCATTAGATCCACCTTGGAGGCCGATGCGAACATTCCGTACCTGAATCTTATCCTCCTGCGTTGACCAAAGCTGTTTATAGGTTTCGAACCGCAATTGCGCGGACTCGGCGTTTTCTTCTCCGTTCAGCAAGGGTACAAAACACTGAGCATCGGGTTTTGTTTCCCGACTGTCGGTAGAGGCGACTTTGCGTCGTTTCGAGGGTCGCTCGCCGGTAGCTTTCCCAAGGTTTGCGGGCTGGTAGATGTACACACCCTTGAATGAATTAGCAAGTCGGTAATTTTGCTCTCACTAACAGCTAGTTCAAAAGATTACATACCTGGTTCTGCGCCCTATCCCTGGACAAGTCCAGCGCATCCTCAAGACTTTCAGGATCCATTGCTGGTTGCGATTGACAAAGTCGCGTCGAGGGCGGATGACTTCACGCTCGGAGGCGGAAAGGCGCTAAACCCGAAGGGGGCCAATTAATGGTTTTCCGATCTTCAACTTTCAACAACCAATTCCCAATCTCCTTCAAACCCCCCATGAACAACTCCATATGCTCCGCCAGGCTGTTCGAGGAGGAGCTCGATGGTGCCATGCGGTCCACAGCCCGTCGGTTCACCGGCGCGCCTTTAGCGCTGTGAATGCGCGCCGTCTCGACTTTGGCGGGCCGAACGATAAGGTTACCTTTTACGAACAAGAAACCCCCTCGAGCAAGAACGTACAAAAGGTGGATCCGGAAGCCGAAGATAAAGAGGAGCGGAAGGAAGTCCATAGTGAGCTTTCGAAGCTCCAGGAGGAGCTGAGGATACTCGAGAAAGGTCCATTTACACCCGATGGCGAATTCATCCAAAGTTTACCGGAGGAGGACCGCAAGATTGCTCTAGAAGCCCTACGGAAATACGAAGCAGAGCGAGGCCCAGTTGAGCGACAGCCAACCTTGGACGATGTTTTTGACGAGGAGCTGGATAACATGCTGAAGGATGAGTTTGAGGGTCTTGCGGACGAACAAGAGAATTGGCAGGACAGCGCCAGGGACCGGCGAAAGCTGGTTTCTCGAAAGACCTCGCAGGTACAACTTGCAGACCCAACATCTCACGCTTATTCGACACGTTTCAATCAGTCTCTGCGGCGGTATGCCGGAAAGGTAACAGACGAGCGAGCTAGACAAGAGCTTTGGAAGTCATACCGGCGGTGCAGACAGAACGTTCCGGACTTCCTCAAACATCTTACGCCAGCCATGATGGACTCCATCTGGGAGTCACAAGTCACTGGTCAATCAACAAAGTCCACACGGTCAAAACACCTCCAGATCATCGCCGAAGACATGAAATCAATTGGAAGACCTCTCGCCATACCCCAAATACTTTCCTTCATCGAAGCTTTGCACGAAGGCGGAGCTGTCAGCGAGGCTTTGGAACAATGGGAGGCGTATCAAGCGGAGCTGTCGCAGAAGAAGGAAGATCTTGAGGAGTACTGGATGCTGGGTGTTCGACTCTTTGCGGCCGAAAACAACCCCCAACGAGCTCAAGACATCGCGCTGGCATTCCTTGCGAACGATAGGTCTCGCCAATCCCGTGTCCTTATCCCAGTAATCACGGCGTGGGGGAAAACTCCTGGAAAAGAAGCCGAAGTGAAGGCATGGGCGCTGTACTTGCAACTCAAGACTTTCCTGGGGCCCGACATGACTATGGAAGACTATGACCGTGTCAGCATTGGTCTCCTCACAGCTGGCCGGTCCGATGCGGCTGTTGCGGTTTTCAAGGATATGATGGTGACAGGTCAAGACCCTGCTAATGATTCTACGGCTCTGTACCAAGCGGCTCTTGGTCTCGCGGGCAACCTTCAAGCGTCCAGCATTGATGAGCAGGCTGTGAACAAAGTGTCATTGTCCGCGCTGACGATGCTACCCCGTCGATTCCACAATCGGTTCTTTTACGCCAGTTGGATGAAGAAGCTCATTGGCATGGGCGAAGTCGACTCTGCCGCCATGGTGATCGAACTCATGTACGAGCGAGGCGTGAAGCCAGATGCCAAGCATCTCAATGGTGTCATGGCTGGCTGGCTCCGTGAAGGCAGTGCAAGCGCCAGAGACAAAGCAGAGCGACTGGGTTGGTCCATGATCCAGCACCGAATTGATGCCGTGTGGAAACGGTACCAGCCCGTCGAGACAACTCCACAGGTCCAGGTCAAACATCAAGCAATGGAACCCAGCCGCATACCCAAGTTCCTACAGCGGGAAGTCCCTCCAGCAAGCATCGAAACTTTTTCCATTCTTCTTCTCCACTATACTCGCCGCGGCGACGACGATATGGTCAAGTATCTGGCCAAATGTCTCGGCGACGCACACATCCAACCCAACTCATATTTCATGAACCATCTTCTCTACGCCGAACTCCGCAAACAAGACATCCGCTCACTTTGGAACAAATTCGAGACAATGACAACCAGTATCCGACCAGACCTTGAAACATTCGCTTGCCTCTGGGACTGCGCGAAACTGCAATATGATCGCGGTCGCACCGCCTTTGATGCTGGATTCCCTTCTGCGCGACAACTTTACTCGCACATGGTGCAATGGTTCTCGCAGCTTTCTCCGCGAGCACAAAAGATCACTACCGAGCAGTTCACCAAGGATCTATATGACCA